CGAGTTACGATGACAAAGCGATCAACCCAGTGATATCCGAGCTGCTTCTGAGCTAGCTGCGACGCGATATTTCGAATGATACTCCGTGTGGGTGCTAGGCCTCGCTTAGTGAGTCTATCGATATAGTCGATAAGCTCAGCTTCATGTTGTGGGTGGACTGCCTGCGGTTTTGTGCAGCTGCTTGTCTGGAGCGAGAAATACCTCGGTGGCGGCGGCTCAGCGTTCCTGGGTCAACACCATATTTTTTTGCAATTTGAGAATACACAAGTTTTTCATTAGGCTTCAAAGCGTTAATAGCAGCAAGCGCAGCGTCAATTGATTGCATTGTGGTCACGTTATGGGTGGTTGAAGTGGATGGAATAATTGGTGTTGGAGGACGTAATCCGGCGTTGGCCCGTCCGCGGCGTTGGCCCGTCCGGCACCTCTAGTTATTGGCGGAAATCCGTGATCGACTGGCTACCGATATCTCTGACTGCTGGCATGCGAGGGTTAAAAAGAAAGTGTGTGTGCATATGGGGACGGCTTCAGAGTAAGAGTACACAGAGTGGGGTATCGATTCGCTACTTGGCCAAAAACTTCTGAAACGCTTCCTGGTCAATCACAACATTTCCTACAGCCCGGAGCTTCTTCCTGCCCTCTTTCTGTTTTTCTAGCAGTTTGCGTCGTCTGCTGAGATCACTTGCATGCAGCTTGGCCAACACGTCCTTGCGATAAGGCTTGATGGTAGCTCTGGCCACGATCCTTCTCCCCGCGGCCGCCTGTATGATGACTTCAAACATCTGCCGCTCGACGTGTTCTTTGAACTTCTCCACCCAGACGCGTCCTACCTTGTCGACTTGTGATGTGTGCAGAACACGCGAAACGGCATCAACTGGGGAGCCGTTGACAAGAAGATTGAGCTTGGTAATCGATGACCTACGGAATCCTGCATCTTCGTAATCCAGTGATGCATAACCCTTGGTAGAGCCTTTTAATTTGCCAAAAAAGTCATCTACCAGATGCGACAAGGGAAGGTCGTACTTCAAAATGACTTGTGTAGCCGTGAAGAAGGTGAGTTCCTTTTGCTCACCACGGTTGGCCTCGCAGAGCTTGATGACCTCACCAAGATACTCATCCGGGAGAGTGATGGTTGCAGAGACATAAGGCTCGTGCACTTCCTGCACCTTGAAATGTGCCTGATCTTGATCGGGGAACTCGTTGGGATTGGTGATGATAGACTCTGTACCATCCCTCCACACTACCTTGAAAGGTACTGATGGTGGCGTAATGATGATGTTCGCACCATGCTCTTGACGAAGTCGATCCTCGAATACAGAGCAGTGCAATGTCCCCAAGAAACCCAAGCGCCACCCAGCACCCAATGCATCAGACGACTCTTTCTGCAGTGTGACACTGCGGTCGTTCAGGATAATTTGCTGAATGCTGTCTTCAAGATGCTCATGATTGTCCTGGTCAGTCGGAAAGGCGGAGACGAAGACCATGCTCTTAGGCTCTTCAAAACCTGGATATGGCTCGACAAGCTTCTCAGACCCAAGTGTTGTGTAAGTATCGCCGACCTTAGCTTCTTGTGAACGTTTCATACCGGGGTTGAAGTAGATATATCCCACTTGGCCTGCTCTCAAGACCGTCTGCGGTGTCTGATCGGGGTACATGATGCCAACCTCGCCCACAATGTACTTGAGCTGGGTGGCAAAGGAGCGTATCGTATCTCCAGGTCGCACTTGCCCGTCGAAGATGCGTACCAGCAGAATGACACCCTTGTATACGTCGTACCACGAGTCGACAAGGAGCATGCGGAGAGGTTTTTTTGGATCTCCTACTGGAGCAGGAATCTTATCAACCACAGTCGGAAGAAGGGATGCTACATTCAATCCGGTCTTGGCTGAGACAAGCACGGCGTCTTCGGGGTCGAGCTCGAAAGTTTCGTGCATCTGCTCCAGCACGCGCGGCGAGTCGGCATGGGGAAGATCGACCTTGTTCAACACAGGGACCAGCGTCAGGCCCTGGGAGAAGGCCAGGTAGAAGTTGGCAACTGTTTGCGCTTGCACACCCTGACTGGCATCGACCAGCAACAATGCACCTCCGCAACTGGCGTAACTGCGCGACACCTCAGCACGGAAGTCGACGTGACCGGGTGTGTCTACCAAATGCAGTAGATAGTCTTTTCCCTCGTGGTTGTATATCATTGTGCATGTCTGCGCTTTGACTGTGATACCACGCTCCCGTTCCACGTCGAGTTTGTCAAGAAACTGCTTCTGGCCGCCGGGCTCAATAGTGCCCGTGAGCTCCAGAAGGCGGTCTGACAAGGTCGACTTGCCATGGTCCACGTGTGCTACGATACAGAAGTTGCGATAGCGGTCGATGGGGATGTCGGCAATGCGTTTCTCCAGTTCTCCCTGCGGGCGGAAGGCCTGGGCATATTGTCTGGCTGAGGGCCACAGGCGCTCGAGCAGGCGTGAGGTATGCGGAAGGGCCCTAGAGCGGGCCAAGGGCGTCCGACAGCCGTGCAGAAGGCTGCTTGCAGTTCGAACGCATGATCGCATGGGTGGGCATGGGATCAGATCAACTCAATGCACGGCTGCTGGTTGTGGTGGATAGTTGTCACAACTTTTCTCTGCTGATGAGCACCATCTAATCTTATCTCATCTAATCGCCGTAGATCTTATCTTATCGCCGAGCGGCGGTCTGCTCTGCATGCCCTCTGCGCCCAGGCATAGCCTGCAACCAGACCTTTTTGCCCCAACACGACTCCACAGCTGCTATGCCGAGTCTGACTATCACTTCTCACCGACTGAACCCACCCATCGAGATCATTTGTGAGGCCTCTGGCGTGTCTTGCTGCTAACCCGCCCTTCTCTCCGCCTTCGCACCTCGCAGTTGCCCTATCAACAAACGCTGTAAACAACGCCTTCCTTGCCTACACCGCTCCCTACAACGCCACCGCAAATATGCCGGACCCCAAGACCACAGCAAAGACTTCATCAAAGAGCTCATCCAAGACTTCTTCAAAGTCCAAGTCGTCCAAGAGCGACTCATCCAAGAGCGACTCGTCCAAGGTTCACAAACTTGCCTTAAAGGGCTCTTCTAAAGTGGTCAATGAATTTGTAAGTCCGCAAAGCCGACAAACAAGTTGGACGCTTACCCAGATTAGTTTGAGTATTGCATCAACACCATACTGTAAGCACATCGCCTACGCGTCACCTGACACGGCTAGTTGGCTGACCTTTGCAGCTTCCAAAGAGGCGTCTACCCTGCTGAGGACTTCACCGCGTAAGTAAACAATGCATCGCCAAGTGCAAATTGCTTTTTTAACCAAAAATAGAGTCAAGAAATATGGATTGACTATGATGGGTAATTACCACATCTACTCGTCGTCTGGGTGTCTTGCTGATGTCTACAGTGACTGCTGATGACCAGGTCAAGGCCTACATCAAGAAGATCATGGGCCAGCTCAAGGAATGGATGTACGGCGGCAAGATCTCCAAGCTTGTTATTGTCATCACAAGCAAAGAAACTGGGGAACATGTTGAACGATGGCAGTTTGATGTAAGTCAAACTGTACCAATTCCAGCAACTTTCTCCTAACCATGCCTAGGTTCAGATATTTGGAAAGGGTTCAAAGTCAAAGTCCTCCAAAAAGGATACCGATCAGGAAAATGCCGCCCCAGAGTATGTTGAGAGGACTCGGTCGACTTTGTAGATTCTGACTGTTGATAGGGCCAGCGATGCACCAGAAGAGAAGACCGAGGCGGAAATCCAAGCAGAGATCCAGTCCATCTTCAGGCAGATCACGGCCTCTGTGACTTTCCTGCCAATGCTCGACGGAAACTGCACATTCAACGTTCTTGTCTATGCTGATGCCGACTCCGATGTCCCACTCGAATGGGGCGACAGCGATGCAAAGGAAATCAAGAATGGCGAGAAGGTGCAGCTCCGAAGCTTCAGCACTAGCAATCATCGCGTTGACACGCTAGTGAGCTACAGGTCAGCAGCCCTCAAGACGAGTCTTATGTATAGTATGCTGACTTTTTAGGCTTGCCGACTAGCGTTATCCGTCCCCTCCTTTTGTTTGGATTCTTTTCCGTTCTTCACTGCTTTTGTTGCTTCGGTCAGATGAACCGAATACCAATAAGAAGTTTTTCAGTGGGCTATCCGTTCCTGACATGGACGCATTACCACATCAGTAGCATAATCGGCCAATGGAAATGTTTTATTTACAGCACAAAAACTATCGAGTACACGGTTCTTGACACGTTGCCGCAGTTCAATCAGGTATCGACTGCGCTGCACTATGTTCGGTGATCGTCGCGGCTGCCGAAACTGACCAAGAAAACTCTAGTGTGTGTGGGTGGGTTAGGCTGCATGGTCAGTCTATGGAGACTTTGATATTGCGAACTTGGAGGTAGAGATAGGTTAATTAATATACAGCGCCAACCTGGGCCACATGTTCCAATACCAAATAAGAACACCGCCCCATTACTTACATCAACCACCGTACTTTAGAGTTGAAAGTTCCGGTCAGGCCACGGCCATAGGTTCGCAGTAAGTATTGGTTGGTATTTTCTAAATTTACCGTTTGCGTACATGAGAGGATAACATGACGTGCTTCACAACGACATACCAATTCAGTATTAACGGTTCAGCACACGTCATAATCTTCACTACCGGAGACTTGGTTATTTCTTTCACCAGTATTTTCCGATGAACCCACTGAATGGTCCGCAATGCCTCGATGCAGTGCTGGGTCGTTGGATGCCGCTACTCGCACAGAGAATGAGCCCGCTCTTTGCTATTAGTAACACTAACGGAGTTATAGACACTGACCTCTTTCATAGAATGTTCGTACGAGATCATGTGGATTGCCGTGCAGTAAATGTGACATTGAGACTCATGCTGCAGCCTTAGCAATGACAAGATCGTATTTCTGGTTGAGCAAGCTTCAACACAAATAACACAGAGCGGCGCAACGAAAGCACACGCCCAATCAGATATACACAATGCTACCGCCCACTTGTGATATCTAGACGCACAAGGAAAGTTAGGCGGCCCGTGATTTTTATGATCCAATTCTATTTCCAACGGGTCAACCTATGTCAAGTAGCCCACATACACTGTTTGATCGTTGAGTCGACCAAACATATCATGTCTAAAAAAATTCTACTGAGGTATCAGATGAAACTATGAGGTGACTTACCATCATCTGTACTCAACGAAATTTTGGTACGCTCGGATCATGTCAGGACGATAAATATCTACCTTCCACCTGGTTTAGCAGCTCGGTACTTTTCTATCCTATCTCACTTCCAGAACACCCTCTGGCCGTCACCTGAATTCGCGGCACGTCGTCTAAGCCACAATGGGTCTCGGGGTGAGACTTCCAGGTAGCTCCCGCGCTGAGCATGCCGCAGACGACAGCGAGGAACCTCCACCACTGAACCCTCTCGCACCGAAGCATAAGGTCAACCCAAGCAGTGCTTCTGTGGCATCTAGATCACGACCCGCAAGTTTTACACCTCTTCAGCTCGGAGGGACCAATTCCCCAAGCTCCAGTTCCCTCACCGATTCTGAGCCCACTCGTGACAGCACCATCTCCGGAACAGATGCTGTACGAGACCTCAAAGCTGAGATACTGTCGAACTGGCTGCACACAAAGCAAGAAGAGCGAGTATGGACATTCGGTGGACCCGGTGAAGGTGTCTTCATGAAAAGAGCAAAGGGGAGTTACGCATGTGCACCCCACGGAGTCCAGAATGACGGCACGGGCCTCTACCAAGCGGTCACCGAGTTGAACGTCCGGGTAAGTGAATGAATTTCTTTTCCTCGTTAATCTTCAACTCTGACGTTCTCAAGTGCGCTATAACTGTCAACACTAGGGTTATCAAGTATATCCTAGAGCGTACCACGGTTTCTTATGTTCAGATTCAATCTGGTCTACGTCTTCAGGTCATTCCTGACTTCGAAGCTCTCCCATTCTGCCAAAGGGGCCAGTCGGCTGCGTTCATTGCCTCTCGTGGCATGTTAGTCGTATGGCAAGACGATCCTAAGCTGTTGCTCGAAAGGGCAGAGTTCATCATCAATGCTCTAATGAGAATGATGTGTGGATCTGAATACGGTTACGACGCACAAGATGTTGAGCTAGAAAAGGTCCTCGGCAAGAACCCCATGGTTGATGTTGAAGAATACGACGAAGTTTTTGATCCTACTGGCGGTAGAGATGAGGGCCCACGCAATATCAAACTTTGGCAATCGGCTTACTGCGGAATGTCTATCTTGCTGCTCACGACCGCTATCGGATCCGGGTGGAGGCAGATCGCCATTCAAGAAGTCCAGGCTTATGACATGCTTCGAATGCTTTTCTTGGTCTGTCTACCTGCCCAAGTTTGGCTTTCACTGGTAAGTACTCTTTATTGTGAGAAACTACAATCTGCTGATGAACCCAGTTCTTCTTCCAAGCTGTAGTCGGCAACGTCGCACAAATTTTTGGCCCCACCGACCAGATGAATGAAAACAGCAGGTACTACTCTGGAAAGGCGCCTAAACGCCTTCATCGTGATACTTTCGGTGCACCACTCCCGCATGTCACCATCCAGATGCCTGTATACAAGGAAGGTCTACGTACTGTCATTGAGCCGACCGTCCGCTCAATCAAGCAAGCGATTTCTACTTACGAGTTGCAAGGAGGAAGTGCAAACATTTTCATCAATGATGACGGCAGTAAGTTGGTGTGCGCCTATGAAGAACACGATACATAGTAACACCAAATAGTGCAGCTTCTCTCAGCTGAAGACGCTCAAGATCGTCAAGAGTTTTACGACGAGCACGGCATTGGTTGGGTTGCTCGACCTCGACACGACCCGAAGGGCGAGCATGGAATCAAGCCTTTCACTCGTCCCGGTAAGTTCAAGAAGGCTTCCAACATGAACTACGGCCTTCGCATTAGCTGCAGACTCGAAGAGATCTTGAACCAGACCCCGCGCGGTGAGGACTGGACCCAGCTCGACGAGAACATTGCGTACAAGGAGGCCATGGAGGCGGCCATGGCTGAGCATGTGGGCGAAGCCTGGGCAGACGGAAACATTCGCATTGGCGACTACATTCTCTTGGTTGATTCCGATACCCGTGTTCCCAAGGATTGCCTGCTAGAGGCCGTCAGCGAGATGGAGCAGAGCCCTGAAGTCGCCATTCTCCAGTATTCTTCCGGAGTCATGAACGTCACCAACAACTTCTTCGAAAAGGGCATCACATTCTTTACCAACATGATCTACACTATGATCCGCTTCGCCGTCGCTGGTGGCGATGTAGCACCTTTTGTTGGGCACAACGCTATTCTGCGCTGGGAGGCGGTTCAAAAGATTGCTTACAAGTTCAAAGAGGAGGATGGGGCGAGTTACGACAAGTTCTGGTCCGAGGAGACTGTCTCTGAGGATTTTGACATGAGTTTGCGGCTTCAGAGTGCTGGTTACATTATTCGATTGGCTTCGTACAAGGGCAATGGTTTCAAGGAGGGTGTCTCGATTACGGTCTACGACGAGCTTGCTCGATGGGAGAAGTACGCGCCTTTGCCTATTTACACTGATCACTCATATGCTGACTCTCATGGTCTAGGTACGCTTACGGATGTAATGAGCTTATTTTCAACCCCTTCATCAAATGGTTTACCAAGGGTCCTTTCACCAAGCTCTTCCGAACTTTCCTCCGGTAAGTTGAAACCCGAGAGATCCTATGATCACTTTGTGTCCTCGAATGTCACTCAGCTAACTTGAATATTCAGATCGAATATGCCACTGGCATCAAAAATCACCATCATGGCTTACATCGGTACCTACTACGCTCTCGGTTGTTCGTGGGTTCTTACCATGCTCAACTACTTCCTCATTGGTTTCTTCAACGGATTTCTCGACCATTACTACATTAATTCTTTCCGCGGTAAGTCTCACAAAAAAACTATGCATTCCCATTCTTTGTACTACCATCACTCGTATCATCCATGTACTAACACAGCACCAGTCTACTTCGCTATCGTCCTCATCTTCACTGTCCTCGGAAACATCTCCCTCGCCGTCCTCCGCTACCGCATCGGCGAAGGCTCTATCCTCGGCGGCTTCCTCACCAACCTCAAATGGATCCCTCTCCTCACCATCTTTCTCGGCGGCATCTCCCTTCACATCTCCCAGGCTCTCATCTGCCACTTTCTCAGCATCCCACTGGAATGGGGGTCTACGTCCAAGGAGTCCGAGCACATTTCTTTCTTCGTGGCCATCAGCAAGGTGCTCAGGCGCTTCAAGTGGAGCTTCATGTTCTGCTTTACCATGACGGCTGTGATGATTACAATGGCGTTTGCGCTGCCAGAGGATTGGCAGATTAGAACTTTGATTGCGGTTTGGCCTATGGGTACGATTATTGTTAGTCACTTTTTGTTGCCGATTGTGCTTAACCCGCAGTTGATGACATTTACCTGGTAAAGCAATGCGTCAAACTGCAGAGGACATGATGGAGCGGTTGGGAAGTAAGGAGTTTAATACACACAGGGCATCGTGCATGTATGGGGTAAAATCCAGGGTGTCTCTCAATAGGCATAGAAAGACCACTCATCACACGTCAGCTCCTGTCAATTTGAGAGCACTTAGAGGGAGTTTAGTAGGCTGTTTCCAAGCCTCGTCTTGTTTTAATGTTTGTGATAACATGGTCGAGACCTTATTAGGATACGACATGGCATTCGCAATATAGAACTTTAAAAGTCAATGGATTTTCTTCTCTTTATTCTCATGCTTTCAAGGCATCAAAATTAAGCAAGGAATTCTCATGCACACCATGTAACAAACTTCTCCACGACAAATTCCTCCAATCCCCATCTTCCGTTCATCCTGCCAAACCCACTGTTCTTGACTCCGCCCTGGCTTCCAGTCGGGCTCGTATACACGCTAATAGTATTCGCATGTACCTGCCCATACTCCAACTCCCTGCTGATCTTGAGAAACCTCGCCATGTCGCGCGTCCAAACGGTAGCATTGAGCCCGTAGGCAGAGCGATTCGCGAGTTCAATAGCCTCCTCATCCGTCTTGACCACGTATAGAGAAGCCGAAGGTCCAAACGTCTCCTCGTCGAATATCCTGCTGCTACTAAACGGGGTCAGCACAAGAGCGGGTGGAAGCACCGTGGTAGGCCCATCTCCCCCCTCTTTATCCTTATCACTCAACCTGGGAAAGACAACAGTATCCCCCCACGCCTCCGCATCCTGAATAAGATCCCGCGCATGTTTCGCAATCCCCTCAGACACCGCAGCCCCCGTCATCTCCCTCGTAACCTCCCCCATCGCCTCTATAAGCCTCTCCTGAAACTCCCTCGCCACCGCCTCCAGCACAATAACCCTCTCAGTACTAAAACAAATCTGCCCATGATTCATTGTCGCCCCCAGCGCACACTGCTTCGCCGCCACCCCCAAATCCGCATCCTCTAGCACGATCGCCGGACACTTGCCCCCTAATTCCATCAACACCGGCTTCAAATACCTCGCCGCAACTGCCATAATCTGACGCCCAACCGCCGCCGACCCAATAAACTCAACCTTGCGAATCGCCTCGTGCGAAATAAGCGCCTCCGTAACCGCCGCTGCATCCTCCCTCTTACATTGCACTTGATTGAGCACACCCCCCGGCACCCCCGCCTCCAAAAACGCCTTGGTGATTTCAAAATGTGTGGCTGGACACATTTCTGATGCTTTGAATACAACCGTACATCCTACTGCAATCGCACTCGCAATCCCCCTCGTCGCTAGGATCAACGCTGCATTCCACGGCGCAATACACAGTACAGGCCCGATGGGTTCTTTAAACACGAAGCCCGTCGTCCCCGGCTTTTCAGTCGGGGGGATAACGCCGGCCACACTACTAATTTGCGCAGCAATCTCGCGGAGGTAGGAAATGGAGAGGTTGACATTTTGGAGGGCCCAGGCGGGGGTGCAGGATGTTTCGCGGGTTTGGGTAGAGACGAGGGTGGCACTGTGGGTGGAGTAGTGGTCTGCTACGCGGAGGAGGAGATCGCGACGCGTAGTGTGTGGTGTTTGGCGCCAGGATTTAAAGGCAGTCCAGGAGGCGGTTGCGGCGTGGGTAGCGTCCTTGGGGGAGGCGGAGCAGGCGTGGTGGGAGGGTGTGGTGGATGAGGAGGGGGTTATGGGGAAGACGGTGGTGGTGTAGATGGGTTTATTGTTGATCCATAGGGGAATTAGGGAGTTTGGGGTGGTTGATATCGTGGAGTCCGGGTTGGTTGACATGGTGGGGTTGATTTGGTGGAGGGTGTGCTAGTGATGGGTAATTTGTGCTCTTTCTACTACTGTCTTTTTGTCTTTCTTGCTGGAAGCTTGCAGATTTGCTTTAATGGTTCTGCAGAAATGTTCTTGAGTTGTACGGATGTGAACGGGATATAAAGGATGTCCTAGGTTTCTCCCTCAAGTGGCGTCGATGTAGTACCGGTTCACAAAACCGCAGCCATCTTCCGTTGATGTGGATCGTCTTTCGGCAGATGTCGAGCGCCGGCGCGGCCCTATGAATCCGCCCGCACACTGCTTCATCGTCACACACGTGTCAGCTGTAACTGACATTCGTGTTCTCAGAGCTTCGAAATATGTGCAACACCCATTGTGACAAAAAAATCCTATTGGAGTTTTAGTAGAAGTCAACCCTCATTCGTGGGATCAGATGTAAGCCGCCGGTAGAACCCTACACACCATGATGCGATGTCGCATAGGTTATTGTAAGGGCAAGCTCATCCACCCGTATTCATTCAGGACGATCTGCATCAAATGCTTATTGATAGGAGCTTTGTACTAAAAGTGAAAGTCAAATTTACAGTGAATTTATTTAACCTCCTAAAACATCATGTAATCATCAACCATCAAACGTCTATTTTCTGTTTTTCCAAATCCGCTGCCCCGTCCCCTGCTCTTAACCTCTCAGCCTTCTCAGCAGCCCTTTTCTTCTTGTTCTCTAACCTCTCTCTATCCTCTCTCATCTGCCTAATCAATGCGCTCTTTTCCCTAATCTTATGGCCGTAGAGGTAGAATATCACAGGGATAGGTATCATGGCAAATTCTATCAGCGATAACATAGTGGCACTCCAGTGCGGACCAAGGGTCTTATACATCTGGGGACCGGCCAAAGGAAGGGCGCCGCCCATTGCAGAGCGGAGGACTGCATTTCCAGCAAGCGCAGAGGCGGCATAAATGCCATAAGAGTGGACAAGGTAGTTTGAGGCATATATGAAGACGCCACAATTGCCGGCACCGAATGGAACACCAGCAAGGATTGGAAAGATCCAGTGAACATTAGGGGTGCAAGTCCTGTGGGAATGTTAACTGCTGATTTGAGAAAGGCTAGAGGATGCTTACCATGCAAACATCATTTCGCCCACTGGGACACAAACCGCTGCAATGACAACAACACTGACCATAGCTTCTGGATACGGCTTACCCGTTTCAGGGTCCTTCTTGTGACTGTTGATCATACGGCGGATAAGTGGCTCAGAGGCTATTACCAGTACACCCCCAACGCCAATGCCGATGTAACCGAGTCCCACTAGTCCAGGCGACCAGCCTCGGAGTTCTCCAAAAACGATTGGATATGACACGAAGCAAAGGTACAAAACTCCATAGACGAGCGCAATGTAAACATCCCAGAAAATGCAAATCGGCTCGTTGAAGGCCATACTGAAGGGGCGGTATAGGTTCTCTTTCAACAGAGGCCAGAATGATTTCTTGTCATCGTAGCGCGAGTAATATCGAGGGTCAGATGTTTCCTTGCGTTTCTTGGCGGATTTTGCCCGAAGGATGGCTGGCGCATATGTTTCCTTTACCATGAACACCATGAACCATGAGGCACCGGAGCCGATCATCACAACCCAATTTGTCCATCGCCAGCCCAGAGCCTGGAACACAAAGCCAGAAATCACGGGCCCTATAACGGGTCCATTCTGTCGAGACACGGGTACAAAGTTAGTGTATGTCTCACATACATTTCGTACGTGTATCTCTTACCATGGGCCCAAGAGACCAGATTGAAAAGGCCAGGGCGCGGTAGTCTTCGCGGGAGATGTCAGAGACGGTGCCTGGAGCGTTGGAGATCATGGCAGCTCCTGCAATGGCACCAAAAAAGCGCATGACAAGAATCTGTGCGAGGTTGTTTGCCATGGCACTTGGCAAGACGAGAATTGTAAAGGCGGCAACGGAAGTCAAATACACTGGTCTTCTGCCGTACATTTCACTGAGTGGCGCGAGAAGCAGTGATCCGATTGCGAGACCACACATGTATGTCGTGATGCCTAGAATGACAGGCGTCTTTGAGCGTATGCCAAACGTCGCCATCATGCCCGGTATGCCGCTTGTGTAGCTTGTGGAGTACATGACTACGACTAGGGTGGAGAAGCTCATGAAAAAGATAACAAGTGCCTTCTTAGCCATTGGCCAGTCTTGTGGGTTCTCGCCGTCATCGTCGAAGTCGACCTCAAAGTGGGGGTCTTGAGTCGCGTTGGTAGTCACGGTGGCGATGGCGTCGTCCTTATCACCGGGCCAAGAGTGGCCTGTATTCCTGCTCCATGTGTGGTGTATGGCTGGGCGCGTGTCTGTTGAGGCAATTGAGTCGGATCGCGTTGATGCTGAGGACACAGAGGTATGGTCATGTTCGGATTCGACCTCTTCCACCACGCGGGGGTTTTCTGAGGTATGCAACTGGGATGGGGTCGATGTGCTGTTTCCCTGGGGTTGAGTGATTGCGACACGCGTGTCTTTGTCGAAATCACTGTCGGACATGGCGCTGGTGGAGACGCTGCCAAATCCCACAATCAACAGCACAAAAGTACGGAAGAAAGAAAGACTCAACAGTGGACTCATGGGCAGCGAGTGCAGAATATGGCTATTCCACAATTGCGCCATGGACCAGACGGGCTAGCTGTGAACGCCTTATGGCGATGGCGCTTTGCCGTCTTCATCACAGCGGTTTCCAATACAACGGGAATAACGGTCATAGCAAAGTGGTGACGGTATGGAAGATAACAATATAGCCGAGGTCCTTGTCGCTTGTGGAGTGGGGTGGAGTCTTCCTGTGGTGCATGGCGCCGCGAGGGATGGCGGCCAGGCTGTGGATCCTAGGCTTGAAAAAGCTTCGCCTGATTGTACCCAGTGAGGTTTACATGATTGGTGACACTATTGGTGAATGGGTGTGGGCTTAACAAGTGCTGAGAGCGCGATTCGTTCAGAGGAAAGAGGGATGCGGGCTGGAGTGACGAAGCTAAAAGCAGAGGAGGGGAAGTCCGGTCAGGCTAACTAAGCAGCACATGGGCAAACTTCGGGACGGACCCTTTGTTAGCCTCTTCTCCTACCCGTCAACTGTGGATCGTCCATTTTCCTCCAACTAAACTTCAATGCATCGTATTGTTGCGACAGAAAGATGACTTCTGGTGCTGCTACAATTCTGTTGGCGCCCTCCATGGACGCGTTTGCTCCGCCACACTGGTGCGCTATCACATAAATCAACCCACCATACCCACGCTGCGAGAATAAGCTAATGACGGCCTACAGCGCGACCTTCACCAACAATGCATTATGTATTCATCCTGCGAGCAGCCTCCCGCAGTCCTGCTGTTGGAAAATCACCCATGGATCCCAGTTTTTCCTATTTCCTTTGTCACTTCTCCCATTGGTCTCTTTGCGTCTCCCTCATTCTATACGTGCCCCTATTGCTATCCTTCATACATACATCAAGGTCACAGTTCGTCCCCTATCATTTTTACCTTTGCTTCATATACGACTAGCAATCTGGATTTTCTTTGGTGACTGCTGCCGATGATCAAAACGATTCACGCAAGGCTACGTGCATGCTGCAAGCCCAGGTGACACGCAAGTCTGTGTCACACATATGTAGGCTACCATTTTCAGCTGGTTTCAGACCTGCACGACTGGTGCTTTCACTTTTCTTAGGCGCTCTTAGACTTATTGGACAAGGCTGTGTGCATAACTTCTGTTATCTCTGCCAATCCGCAAGGCTCACTGATCACGCCTCACCTTCACTGAGGCGCCAATTGTGGAGCCTTGCCAAGGTACCGCGCCTCATGCTAGCAGACGTGTTTTCAGCACAACTACTCATCACTCTAGGTATTCTCGCAGTAGCAATCTCTTCAACGACTGTAACTCACCTCTCCTCAACTACTCTCGCCGACTGCTTCTTTGCAGCTGGCCTTCTCTTAGTAATTATGGCTTCCACTAACCGCCTGGACTTTCTACATCAGCTGTACAATCATGTGGCACTGCCTCGCGACGTCCCAGGCAAGGAAGATGGGAACCTCCATCACATCGACGCCGCCTTGTTGAATCACATGATGGACGCTGTAGTAAAAATCACCTCCTATTCTACTGTGGGCTTACGATCCCACTTGGACGGGCTATACAGCTCACTGCAAGCATCCCAAACACTCAATGTCAGCGGTACTGTCAGCAAGTCTATATTGATGAAGCAATTTCGTACTCTGGACCGACACAAGATGCTTGTACTTCACCTCAACCCTCAGAACTGTGGTCTGCTCATATACTACCAATTCAGGTAGGCTCCAGTGATATTGAATTGCTCTCTCCATTGCTAACTAGTACAGCTCTGTGGGTGAGACTTCTGTCGTTTTTGAGGCCTTCGAGACGTCTGCAACTGCCGACAAGGTGCTTGCAGCAAAGAGTGCCCTGCAATGGGATTGTGAGTACTGTGCACATGAGCTGAATGTGGAAAAGGTACTGACAGCCCTCGATATAGTTCCTGGATCAGCAGTCTCTATCTCTGAATTGACTTTCAACGATCTTTCCTTCCAAGATGCTCTCGCAACCTTTCTCGAGCAGGCGAGCACCGAATATGTCACAAAGTTTGCTGCCGTCACCTGGAAGGCAGCTGCTAAACTGGTTGAGATCCGAGACACAAGTGACCCTGCAATCATATCTGGCCTGTTGATGGCTATATTGGAGGCCAATGGCACTACAATCAACGTACCCCAACTGCGAAAACGAGTACGTGACACCGTTACCTTTGAAAACGCTCGAAAGCCTTGGAGACGATCTGCTTTCTACCTGGTCTTAAGAGTAGCAACCCAGAGGTATCTGTATCATCATCTGGGTGCCCAAGAGGGTAGGAAAATGTACAAGACTATTATGTGCGTACTTCATGCACAACTCCTAGAGAATGCATTGAGGAGAATACCGCTTGAGGCAGCCTTCTTCTTGCGCCAGAAGCTAGGGCGGCGCCTTGCCAAGTTGAGTTCCGACCTGCACAGCTCGAACAACCCTTCGATTTGTACGCAGCCCTTTGGCGGGATGCCATTAGAACGAGATTTCGAGAAGACGCTAGGAACAACAGGCGCATACCTGAAGCAGGTTTGGCGAACCTACCAAAGGTCTCGGGAACGACAAGTTCCAGAATTGCGCCGATATGTCAACAACAATGAACTTCGACTTAACCTAACCAGCAGCGGCAAGATCTTGAGAAATACTTTAGTTGAGTATCTCTCATTCCCGAGACGTCAGGAGCCAACTGCTGCCAGCCTCCTGGATACTTACCAGCAGTCTGTGACCTCTGCCAAACCATACATGGAAGCTGTATCCGGCCACATCTCTTCATCAAAGTATCATGAAGACGTCGTACTACCGGCCAAGTGCTTGATACAATATAAAAGCCCCCGTATCATTGAACTAAGCGGCATAATACGTGAGTATGTTCGCATCATTTGCACAGGAGATCAGACGTACACATACCAAAAGAGTCAACAGTTGCTCTGCCTCATGGAATTGTGGGTTCTCATGGACAAGGCTGCTGTTGCAGGCTACCAACTACTTCTGGATTACCACCCCGGCTTTGAGTCCGATATACTTGATCCTATCGAGCTGTTGACGCTTGAGGAGATGACTAGAGTTCAAGAAGTGCGGCGGTATTTGTCAACCCGATGCCGCTCTCACACAGTGACGCAAAGCAATACCATTTTCGATGATCCTGACGACGACTGCTTCGCTGTCCGGTTCTACGACAATGAGGGTCTTGAGGGTGAGCTTTCAGCCATGCGCAAGGAGATTGAGGATGCAGCCGAACAGGCATGCATCAAGAAAGAAACTGAATGGGAGGAGAAGAGTACAGAGTACAAAAAGAAAACTCTCAAATTGAACGAAAAGGAGTGCATATATGATCCCGTCATAGACCGGGATCTTCGCGTGGCTAGACCATACCATAGAGAACCCTGCGAGTGGCACAAGCTTCACCGTGAGTTGAAGAACATGAGGATCCAGATCTTCGAACACCCTCTTCCAAGCTACGAACCGGCTGCAAAAGCAACACTTTTTGAGCTCCAATGCCCAGAAGAGTTTGCGGCATACCGTGATGCTACTTGGCTCATTCTCTCGAGCTTGTGTCACAAACCAGTCGAACACCTAGACCGCATATCGCTTATTCGCAACTACTCACAACTTCGGCCCTACGCAAACAACACCCATTGTCAGGTAACCTTGGGGTCTTACAAAAAAGCCCACCTAGAATCTCACTATGCAAATTGGGCCTTCCCGATTGCGCTACAAGAGATTATTCGCACTTGCGGCTTGAAGCCTCGATACTACGATAGTGATGGTACCTGCTGGACCGATAGGCTAACAAAGGCTTCATTTTGGCATCACTTTCCTGTAAAGTTTCCACTGAATTCGCCATTCTCTACTCTCGGATTAGACTACGCTGCATGGCCAACGTCGAACCAAATTCAAGCAAGCCAAGCCAAGTGCCCGCAAGGACTAGGTATTCATGAGTTTACCGCTTTTCAAGATCTTCTGGTCGGTACTCATGCACGATGGATCAATCTTCTTCGAGAGTTGGGTTCAAGCAACATCAATTTCTCGTCCGAGTCAACTTGGGTAATTGTGTCACGTCTAGTGCTTCAGCAAGGGCCGAGCTGTAACCAGACATCTGAGTACACAGATATCCACAGCTCACTAGCAGACAACGATCTCTCTACTGCATTGTTGACGCAGATTGACTACCGCCTACAAGGCATTCGGCGCAACTGGAGGGAACCCATACAAATGGAAATCTTGATCACGATATTGCTTAAGGTTGTATCGCTGACTAGAGATTCGAAAACTCTGAGTCGTGCTATGGAACTTCTCCATCAAGCTCGTACGACAACTGATGGCTGGCGGACAGAGCTTCAAGCGATCGTCGCGGATGACCCGAACGTCTTACAATGGGTCATATGGGCTTCACTCTTGTGCAAGCGAACATTTCACACAGAAGGTCAACTGCTAGGTGTACCGGAGCACCTTCAGACATACCTGGATGCGTCAATTTCCCTTCATTACAACCTTTCAGTAGAAATTGGTAGCATGCCTTGCAGCCTGCAAAACGCCATTACCCGGGATGTCTTATTCGCTTACGAAAACCGCGATCTTATAAGGACAACTCTGCTGGCGCATCCTGAGACATTCATAGCTTCACTAAAAGCCGTATGGCATGTCCCCGGAAGCTTTGAATGTACCAAGTTAGCATTGGAGACCATTTCTGATACCTGGTGGATGTCGCTTACGCTAAGGCCCGGTACCGAGCAGTATTCCACCTTTGTGCATTTCAACTACATCTATGGTACACTTCTCATAAATGGGAAAGAGATGGGCACATTGCCGTTATCGTATCGCACCCATTCAACATTCCAGCATATGTTCGGTACAAAAAACCCGATTGTTTACCCCTCCCCTCTGAGGGGCATGGATTTTGCGTTATGTGAGATGATGCCAAAGAAGCACAGGATTCATCTAGGCTATCGCGGTGGCCAAGTCATTGTCCGTGCTGATGTTGATGGCCACTTGCTTGAGTTCATCCCCCACGGGATTTTCAGGCCTGATCTTCCCCTGCCTCTGGTAGAGGGCTGCTACCATTGGCTCCACATTGATACTGGTGAAGTCGAAATCCGCCAGAAAGATAAGTGGACTTCTAAGAGAAAGAACTGGTGGCTACGACGACTATATCAAGACGGGTCATATCGTGCTGTACGACAGTTTCAGGAGCCCGAAGAGGTCATACTCCTTGAGCCAAGAAGTCCCCTCGTCCATGATATCGCCCAAATATTCAGTCATTTCGAGACTCCTTCCCAGATGCTGGTATGGTTGGCGCAAGATGGCAAAGTGAATGTAGAACTGAAGCGCATGGAACTCAGTTTCTTCATCAATTTCAAAGGCCAACTACAATCACGGCGACTTGGTGCTATCATTTGGCATAAGCAAGATTGTGGGACCTGGTATGGTCTACGCAACAAGATCATGATACAGTCTATCTCCAATCAGCGCCATACAAGCATCCTGGTCCCTTTGGGAAATTTCAAAGTTTTCAGAGATGGACCACATGTTTGCGTCGACATCGAAATGGGTAGCGGCGAGTATCTCAAATACTCGATAAATGACACACTGGGTCGTATCGATTGTGCGCCTGAGCCACGGTTGTTGTACACTAAGGCTTTGTTACATGCTTATACATCGCATGTGATAGCCGATCCGCTTACAGGGCGAACAGGGACTGAAGAGGCACTCCACCTACTTCATTCGGCGGCCTACCAACCCTGGAACCCATTACCAACCCACATAATAGATTTGCTAAACCGTATTTCAGACCTCTCACCTAAGCGCGGGTATTATCCGCCAGAAGATAAATGCATGGAAACGGTGCGCTGGAACGCTGACTGCACCACTTATATGCAAGACGATGGCTTTGTTACCGTCATTGCGCGGATCTTGCGAAAGTCGTCCGATCTGTCCCATTTCTTTTTTGATCGGGAAGTCCAAGAACGACCTGAGTTACCCACACAGGTCTCACATCTTGCTGCACGTGCGCTTGCAAGGTCCGCTACCCCGAAGAGGAAGACTGCCAGCTACCAGGAAGATGTCTACTGCACACGCGACACCCGTACATCTTCACAAGGGTTCCTGAATGTACTGGAGATATCAAAACTTCTTTTATCCTGGCAGCCATCTTGCGCTATGGATACTTCACTAGTTGCGCTTCTGCATGATGCTCCAGTAGTGGGTGGCTACGACAAACTCTACCGAAAATGTTTGCTCAGCGATCACTTTGCCGTCGATCTCCGAGCCGAATGGGGTGCACTCGCACAGAAGGCTCTGCAGTGCAACTGGGATGATAAATTCAGTCTGATGTTTCTCTTCAGTGTACTAGCATTTTCGCCAGATGCAAATCTGAGCTTACTCCGTGTCTTGGTTTCCTTTGCCATGCTGCCAGAGATACGTGCTATACCAGCGCCGAAGTACCCTGCGTATTTCCATTTCCGTGCAGATGGAGCACCCCCGACGTCATACTTTGTATCTCTGATGGCCAAAGCACGAATTGCTTTCTCAGAAACCGGATTCAAAAAGCGCTCGCAGCTCGTCAAAGCCCAAAGCTTACACGAACCAAGTGTGGATAAAGCATGTGAGCTGCTGGCTACCTCAATATCTGCGCAATGGCCTAGTTTTAGGATTGATCCAAAGAGATTACCTATAATCAATTCAGAGTACTTGGATGTTGGACGTGCCTTAGCCGACATCAGTCCGGAATGGACTCGTCTTACACAGAATCATGAGCTGTGTACGTATCTAGAGCAGGTTCAAAAGGTTCTTTCACGAGCAAGTCTCCAACATGGTCAATTCTTGCCACCTGTTGTCACAGAAAGCGAACTATCACCTGCTGCGATCTATCCTCAAAGATCAAGAGCCAATGACGATCTGACACTTCGACATCTGCTTAAATTCAACATTCCCAGCAACACTGTGGCTATGACAACAACCTTTCCTGTAATAGAGTCATACGCCAGGGCTCTGAATGTCAGATCCGGTAACATAGTCCATAGTCCGGGAAATCATTACCGCCACATGAACAATTTCAGAGAGCAGAAAATGCCGCATGCTCACAGTGTCGCTCCCCAGTCGAAAGAAATCAGCATGCTTCGAGAAATAGTCGCTAGGTTCAAAGATCCCGAGTCTTTCGTCCAATGTAGGTACGCAAAGGAGCTCGAGGCCAGCATTAACGCTCTTCAAAAGCGTATAATGAATAAGAAAGACGTGCTATCTCAGCAATACCATCAAATCAGAGCAGATGAGATAATGTCAGCAAAAAGATCTGCATCTGCAGCGGCTGAACATATCAGACGTACACTTCGCCACAGCGACCCACAAGCAAAGTGGCTTCAGATGGTCGATCTCTGGCCAAGTATGACATTCATCAATCTACTTGGTGAACTCCGAGAGTCTTCAAAGACTGAATTTGGGAAAGGCTCGAAAGAGGCGCTAGTCGCTTTTGGCCTTGCCATGACCAAATTGCAACGTCTCCTTCGCATTGCAGATGCCCAAAAGAGACACAAAGATCAACAGGTGCAAGATGAGTGGGGGAATGAGGGCCATACTAACTGGGATCCACTGAATCATCCTGATTGGTTATTGTTGGAGATTGATGGTGATGTTCTCCTTCGAGAAGAGCAGGTAGATGTAGCATTAGCGACCGTTTCACCGCCGTCAGGCCGGAATTCTGTTCTGCAACTTCTCATGGGCAAGGGAAAGACCTCTTGCATCCTCCGTAAGTATATGAGATCAGCATTGTTGCCATCTTGCTAACTCATGTTAGCTATGGCGGCCGCACTTCTTGCCAACGGAACAGACCTAGCCCGCGTCGTGGTACCAAGAGCGCTCTTACTACAATCTGCGCAGGCTATGCAGGTAAAACTTGGGGGCTTGGTCAATCGCGAATTGATACATGTACCCTTTTCTCGAAGAACGCCCCCAAAGGAGTCCTTGATACATCTCTATGGAAAGCTGCACACTAAGCTACGAGATCGCCGTGGTATCATTCTTGCATTGCCTGAGCACATACTATCATTCAAACTGAGCGGTCTACAGCAGCTTTGTGATGCAAATCTCGAAGCAGCATCTAAAATGATGGACACCCAGCGTTGGCTAGATCAGCATGCCCGGGACGTCCTGGACGAGTGTGATGTGTCCTTGGCGATACGAACCCAGCTCATCTATCCTTCTGGCACCCAGATGACTGTCGATGGCCATCCGATGCGCTGGCAAATCATTCAGGCTGTCCTCCAACTAGTCAAGGACTTTTCGACAACAGTCCAATCACGCTATCCCCACAGCATTGAAATCGTCAAGCGTGGTTTCGATGGATTTCCCCTCCTGTACTTTCTGCGCCAAAATGCTGAAGAGTACCTACTCTGTCTTCTCGTCACGATAATCTGCAAAGGCCAGACACCTTCAATTCTGCCATGCGCTGAATATCCTCTTGACATGCGACAAGACATTGAGGCCTACATTTCTGTTCCTACTGTCCGCAGTCATATAGTGTCCAGGATTTCTAATCAGTTTCAAGACAAGCCAAAGTTGATGCGAACCATCAATCTACTTCGTGGACTATTTGTTCATCGCATACTGCTCACCACCCTGAAGAAACGTTGGAATGTACAATATGGACTGCATCCAGTACGTGCGCCGATAGCAGTACCATACTTGGCGAAAGGCGTACCATCTCCCACCGCCGAATGGGGTCATCCGGATGTTGCCATCACTCTGACATGCTTGTCCTTCTACTACCAGGGACTGAATATCTCTCAATTCAAAGAATCTTTTGAACATCTAGCCAAGACCGATGAGCCTAGCATACAATACGAAAAATGGTTTCCAGAGGGATGCTATATACCAAGGGAACTGGAAGATTATGCTGCCATCAACGCTGAAGATGTACGACAGTTGAGCGAGCTATATCAGGTGGTCCGATACAGCGCGTGCTTGATCGACTTTTACCTGAACAACTTTGTATTTCCGAAGTATGCAAAGACCTTCAAGCTGAAGCTACAAGCTTCCGGTTGGAATCTTTTCCCATCTGTCGCCACAAGGAAGATGCAGGCTGAAGCTCGTGTTACTGGATTCTCGGGCACCAACGATTCTCGACATCAACTGCCCCTTTTGATTCAGCAACAAGACATGGCAAAGCTGGAACACACCAATGCAGAAGTACCTTATTATCTCCTAGCTTCTCGCAATCAGTCATATGTCCGTATGGCATCTCCAAATGGTGCTCGCTGGACTGAGTTGGATTTGCTGAGGAACCTTGCAACCCCCGCTCCTTATGCTCACTCCAACAGAAATCATGGGGTGTTTTATGGCGCGAACAACCAATTCGGGTTCCAGCAGCAACGACCAATTCGAATCCTTCTTGATGCCGGTGCCCAGGTGTTAGAGCATTCAAACAAAGCCTTTGCTAGAGCTTGGCTGGATGCAGACTACGAAGCAGCAGCAGCCGTCTATTTCGATGATGACCATCGTGTGTGGGTGCTGTACCGCACAAATAAGACAATCCCACTTGTGGCATCTCCATTCGCCGACAATCTTGATCGATGCGTTGTATATTTGGACGAAAGCCATTGTCGTGGGACTGACCTCAAATTCCCGCCTGATGCGCGAGCTGCGCTTACTCTTGGCCAACACTTAACCAAAGATGCGCTCGTACAGGCAGCCATGCGATTGCGTCTACTCGGCCAAACCCAATCAGTTACTTTCTACTCCCCCCCAGAAGTACATCAAGGCATACTGGACCGATTGAAAGAGACTGGACATGGCTATCGCCCAACATCTGGCGATGTGCTTCAGTGGGTCTTTGGCCAGACATGCGATATCATGGAGCAATCTGAACCCTCATTCTTTGCTCAGACATCACAGTACATGCAACAAGAACAAGCAAGGTTGGAACATCCTGACTACCTTAGGGACTCTGTTTCGCGAGATGCGTTCCTTTCCAAAGTGCGCATCAAGGAAACGCTCTCGTTGAAACAGCTTTATCAGCCAAAAGCCCAGCGACAGAATGGTTCTCCCAAGACAAGCAAATGGCATCCGGTATTGGAAGGCATTTCTACCGAGCTTCTGCGTCGAAAGAAGCATTTCCAAGATCGTGGAAGTGCTGTTCACGCATCAGCCCTGGAAGAAGTAGAGATTGAGCAGGAGCGTGAAGCAGAGCGTGAGATCGAGTCAGAGGTGGAACATGTGCGCGAAGTCCAACAATCTCTGGCATACGACGCAGCCAAATTGAAGAAGCTTCATGAAGACGTCATGCATTTTGCGAAGTTTGGACGTCTGGTTGCTGGAAGCGATGCTTACCGGCCCATGTTCTCGCAGCTGGCACGTACGGAACTAGGTCTCAAGCATACGGTCAATCCGTCTATGAAGTCAGGTCTCTGGATTTCGGCTCAATTCAATCGCACCATTGAGACTTTTGAGCCGAACGACAATTACATTCGCTCTCCGCACTGGATTCTTTGGAGCACAATCAGCGAGCAAGCTCTCCTTGTCAGTCCGGAAGAAGCAGATAATTTGATCCCGATTTTACAGCATCCCAGGTTACTGGAGGCCGATAACAGGGTTCATCTCATTGTGTACGCTGCACCAGTCACGCGCCGGATGCTTCACTTTAACCAACTGAACTACTACGCGACGCCTCCTCTGCCGACCGACTTCCACGCCCCTGTTTGGCTGAGAATAGAGTTAGGCCTGTTCTCTGGGCGCTTGTATCTCGAGTGGGACGAGTACCACAAGCTACTTGAGTACCTGGGGCTATATGACGACCTGTCCCAGCACCCTGAGAAACCCCCATTTGCGACAAAGCCGCTTACCTTTCGTATGTATTTCCAAAACACTTAGTACTGCACTTTTGATACTAACTTAGTATGAATAGTTTACGAATGGATCACGCTCCGCCGCAAAGGCCAAGACTTTGAGCACACACCCATGGGCTTCATCACCACTGGCAAGCCGCTCACCGAGAAACATCCCTTCTTCCGCGTACTCGCAAGTGAAGACAACCCCGAGCGTGTGCAGACGATTGCGCGACATGCACCGGGGTATTCTGAAGAAGAGCAGGATGACGATGAGCATGATGATCAGGGTGACGAGGATTTTGTCCCTGCCGTTGAGCATGTGGATGAATCGGAGGACGAGGAGGAGTTCGGGTCTAGTGGGGATGAAGAATTCCAGGATGCTGAAGATGCGGAGTAAAGGTTATGCGTCTAATGCGGTTTTGCTTGGACACAATTTGTAGTGTATTTTTGTAGAGCCGTTTTTAGGTAGCCTACATGTCACGATACTCTGAACAAGAAGGTCAACCCTCGGGGATCCATCGGATACCCTTTAGGCCAGCGAAAGTCACAGTCACGTGCATAGAGTATATAGTCTCATCCGAACCTAAGGTAACTCCTTAAGGATTCGTCTCAATCCACTCTAACTGATGTTTTGTGCCTATCTGCGAAACACCTCACAACTATTACGCGATAGAGGCTAGCTTTACTTACTTAATACTAGATATATTAGTTATTGCATAAATATTACGTAGACGCTTTGTTTAAGAACGAGAGCACTATTATTCGTTAGCTTAAGGCTGTGCTTCTTTTCTCAGGCAAAGATTACCTGGGTGCAACCCGACCCATAGCCACCATCTCCACTAAGTACAACGTCAACCTCTCCCGCGGGTTTCTCCCTGAGCCGCCTCCTGACACTAACACGACGCTGACCCGATTGCCAACGCCCCAGGCCGATACTGTAACGGGCTACCTGACCACTGAGCAGGCCTCCGCAAGGAACCTCAAGACTGCATTTACGCCCAACGAAGAGACTGCGCTCGCCAACTTCACACTCAACCCGTTGCTTGTCTTTCCATTTCTAAGTTCCCAGTGGAAGCCCAATGTCGGAGAATCGTTCCTATTTGCCCACTTCCAGAGCGCCTGCGATAGCACTGCTACTGTCCGCTACCTCGACAAGTTCTACACCAACGCCCATGCCCACGGCCGACGTGCGACAGCGCTTGGGTGCGCACACATCTCTGTCACGTGCGACACCCAGATGGTCAACATCTGGCTGCATTAGCGCGAGCTGAACACTGACGACGGTACGACATATTACATGAAAAGCATCTTCGACTGCTCATCGCGCAACAAGGATCAGCTTCTCAACAGAGGGAATGCGAGAAGTCGATGCAGCCAAGGCGGCTACTCATCAATATGAGCAGTAGAAGATGTTAGGCCGCGGGGAGCAGGGAAGCAAGGTCTCCCGGGTTCAGATGGCTCAGCGCACCCAGTATCCAAGCTGATCCTATCACCGAGACTTGGTCCACACCACCTATCTTATCGACGTATGTCGCGAACGCAAAGCATTCGGATGGCTGAATGAATTGTGATAGGAATTGCTGCGCGGCGTGGGTTGCAGCTAAGAAGAGCTGAACTGCCAGGGGATTCTCATCTTTGAGGACTATCGTATTTTGTCCTCCCTCGGCCCAGGCCCCGTCTAACATATTCTTGAAGTAGACTGATTCCTTAATAAGCGTGGCACGATTTACGAGGAAGCGGGTGGAAGTCGCGCTATCGACGCCAACTTGCAGAGTGAGGTCGGCAACGAGCGGTAAGATTGCGATTGTGAGGGTTGTCGGGCTTGATATCTTGACTGCAGGGGTGCAAGAACAGAAGAAAAATGGGCTGCAGTGGATGTCAGAGTCAAGTAGCGGCGTGTCAAAGAGATACTTTACGATCCAAACCAGAAGAATATCATTAAGCTGAAGTGATAAAATGCCAAATACCGTACCTGCAAATAGGTCATTTCCAGATCTTGACGTAGTATGAATTTCGGTATGCAATGCGCACGATTGGTGAGGCCTTCTGCAGTATCTGGATTGGAGAAGTGGGTCTTCCTGATAATGTTGACATACAAACGCTATACCTTTGCGCTAGTTGAACGGTAAGTCACGGAATAATGCAAAAGCCGAACTAAGAATGGATCTTGCTGGTAATTGGACAGGAGACGGGTGGTCGGAACATTATCTAGCTCCTGGTATTACTGGTCTCGAAATTGGGGGGAAGGGCGATGCAAGATACGTGTATAACATGTAGGTTACTATCTTGTGTCGGGATGTCGGCAGGTGGGGCAGGGGCAGGCGTTGGGTGACGTGCTTGCGTCATCGCGGCTCGGCTTCCGGCAGAAAGTTGTTGTACAGCTTACCATCCTCCAACGTACCACGTCGAATTGAAAATGTCGGGCGCATTTGACAAACTACTAGCCAAGGGCAAGGCGAAGCTCTCCGAGTTTACGGGCCCATCGTCCGGCGGCCATCACCAGCAAGGCTATCCGGGCCAGGGCTATCCGGGTCAACAACATCAGCAAGGTTATCCACCACCTCAAGGCTACCCTCAACCTCAACAGGGCTATCCACCGCCAAACCCAGGCCAGTACTCTGGTGCTCAGTATCCTCCACAGTATCCGCCGCAAAACCAACAATGGGGTGCGCCTCCACAGCAACAGCAATGGGGTCCGCCGCCTCCGCAGCAACAACCTTTTGCACCACCACCCATCCCACAGGGAAGTAAGCCGCACACACCACAGCCCGGCAGTCCCCCGCCTATACCTCAGAACCGCCCTCCATCTGCGCAACCGCCGCCGCCACAGAACATCCCCCCACCACACACTGAGAAAGTATACTGGAGACCATCCTTCGACAAGTCCACCCCCGTATCGCAAAACTTCCGCCACGAAATCGGTGACCACGGCTGGGGTAACAATGAGAAGCAAATGTACACCGACAGCCCCGAAAACTCCTTCCATCACGACAACCGCCTAATCGTGCGCGCCCTAGTCGGCCCCGACAAATGGACCTCTGCCCGCCTAACCTCTCACCAAACCCTCTCCCGACCGCGCGGCTACCTCTCCGCAACCTGTCTCCCCCCTTCCGCCCCCGGCATCTGGCCCGCCTACTGGATGCTCCCCGCAGACCCCTTCAAATGGCCTACCGACGGCGAAATCGACATCGCCGAGAGCTGGAATGCCGAAACAGAAAACCACTCCTGTCTCCACTGGGGCTCCTACACGGGCGAAGACGTCCAGAAACATCGTGTCGTCAAGACCTCCCTACCCGATCTCGCCCGTCAACCGCATACCTACGGCTTCGCGTGGATCGAAGAGGAAGGCATTCCTGGGTGGAGAGGCCGTATGATTTGGTATATTGACGGTAGACCAGTTATGAAGGGGACTATACCTGAGGGAACGAGACGTATGGAGGATTTTAGGATTTTGATTAATATTGCCATGGGGGGAACAGTTAATCAGGGCAAGTTGCCAGCAGAGGGGTATTATGATTTTGTGGTTAGCGATCTTAAGATGTGTGAGGAGCCTGTGGGGGGATGGCATGCGTTTGAGAGGGATTGGGGATGTACGCCTGAGGGTAAGGTGTTGTGACGTGGGGTTATTTTACCCTATTATCCTCATACATCGTAGAATCAATCTTGAAAGTAGTAGTATTTTTGATTCACTTGGTGTATTTTTTTCTATACCTAGTCTATCTGAAAATTTCGAGCATCTCTACGTACCTCCGTTCACATATTATCTCTTTTCCTTTTTTTTCCTTCTCTCTCCGCGTCTCTTTTACTTTTCCCTTTTATTTTACTTTTCCCTTCCTTCCCCCCGCCCCCACCTGTCCATCACCCTTTTTCCTTTTTTTTTCGCCTCAAATCCCCCGCACCCCTCATCTCACAAATGCCAAAAATGATCCTCGGGATATCTCCCTTGAATATCCCCCCCCCCCTGGTCCCCCGTCTTGGCCTTGAAGAGGCTGAGACAACAAACGCCACATTCTGCATGTCAATGTAACGGAAAGATACGATCGCGATTGATCTTCTATACACGCGTGGCAATGTGGAACATGTGGGTCACGCAGGCCCTGGTGCTGGGGAAGGGCGAGACTCGTGGTTCCTTTGTAATACTTTTTTTTACTTTTTTGCGTGATCGAGGGTTTGAGGAGATGGGAAGACGGGGATGGCGCGATGGCGCGATGGGCGAAGATCTAGGCACGGGAACTGTAGTTGCGTAGTTGATGGCGTAGTTTGCGTAGTAGTGTACTCTGTAGGTACGAGTCAGATATGCTTCTATTCTCGTAAGCATCGTTCTCTATACCCTACCAAAACCCCGTTCTATTCTACGACACATACTCCTTCCTCAATACCACCATATCGAACTCCCCCTTACACCCCCACACCCCCGGTCCCTCGGTCCTCCGCCGGACTTCGCTCCAGCCTCTGCGACGCCAATATGCGCCGTTGAGATCGTCGGCAACAAGAAGCCAGAGCGTTACTTTCCCGTTCTTTTCCCCCTTCTCCCTCGCACAAGCACATAGATGATCCCCGAGAAACCCTACTAACCGACTCGCAAGCCCCTGCCCAACAAACTCCTCGTGCACACACACCGTTTTGATCTCCCAGCCGGATTCGCAGTTGGAGCCTTCGCGGTGCCAGCCTCCCTTCCAGGATATGGCTGCTGCACAGGCTACTATTTCTCTTTCCCCCACTTCCCTATCCTCTTCTTGCTTCCCCTCCGAGTCTTCCAACTTGGTTTTGGGTCTAGAAGAATATATAACAGCTACCATACTCTGCTCATCTCCTATCATCTTGCATAGCTCGTCCGGTGAGTCGAAGCGCGGTATAGTGGTATCCCATCTTGGGTCTGAGGTTGCTGAGCGGTGGAAAGCGGAGTTTATGAGGGAGGTTAGGGCGGTGGAGAGGGTGGGGGTGGATTTTATGGTTGAGGAGGTGTAGAGAGCTGGTTGGGAGAGAGAGGTAGTGGTTGAGGACATGGTGTAGAATTGGTGTTGGAGGAATTGATGTGGGGGGTGGAGAGGCAGAGAAGGGGATAGAGAGGGTTTTGTATTAGATGAGTCATCAGAGAGTTTTTTTTCTTCTAGATGGAAAATGTCGTTACTTGACTTTTGAAAGGGCGTGATCGTCAAGATACGCACCTTCCTATTTTGAGCTGGTCGTAGTATTCTCTCTTTTTTGTTTTGCGTTTTGACAGAGAGCTCACAGTGAAGAAAGCGGCGCCATTCTGCATCACAACACAAGATCCTTGAATACTATAACATAAGTTTCATTATTACATAACAAGCAAAAGCTTTTGAGCAAAGAAGCGAGACTGCACACTTGGTATAGAACAGGAACAACGAAAAAGAAAAAGATCAAACGGAACAAATGCCTACCCTGTGGTACCCCATGTGAAGAGAAATATCAAAGAGCCAGCCTAGATTGATACAATCAAGGAAATTCATTGCGACAACAACCGGTGCTGATGGCCAATCCCAATGGACGGCGTTTCGTAAATATAAAACTCCGGGTGATAGATGAGGTTTTGGACAGGAAGGAGGATGACAATGCGCTAGTGACATGATACATATTCGTGGAATGGGGCATGCGCTGCATGCGTCGTCATCACCAAGTCTGCCAGCTTGGTCGATGGTGGCTTAGGGTCCGTGATGGAAGTGGTGTAGGAGCCCTCTGAAATGTCGCTTTTTCTACTGCCGGTACAGGAAGTACCGGACTCTTAGGAGGTTCCGCGACAATGGGAGAAACAGGGTGTGCTGTCAAAGGCTCATGAGCAGCAAATGATGGTGATGTGGGGAGCGGTGGAATAACACCGGGAGCGGCATTGTCAAAGCTCCTTGGCGAGTATACACTCGATGTACCGGAATTGCGTGTGGTGTAGAGACCAAGTTCAATATCGTCGTAGTAGTGATCGACAATATTGTCATTGGTCATAGATGAAACAGGTCTTCCAGCAGGGCTTTCAGGTACGCTGTTTGCTGGCGAGTGATGAACCTGCATGTCTTTTTGGACAAATACACCGCCGTGAGAGTCTACCGTCATACCGGCATGAGAGTCAAGGTATCCTCTTGTACTACGCATCCCGCTTTCGTTTCCGGTCTCAAGCACCGAGCTTATCTTGCTCCATAAGCTAGACTTGCTTGGCTTCGATGAGCCGTTTGGACTAGCACGGTCCTTGGAGCCGACCGGTGTCTTGGTTCGTGATCTTGACGTGAGCTTCTCCTGGAAGAAATGCTTGAAGAAGACCTTGAGGGCTGGAGCATTGGCGCACAAGCAACCAATGTGTAGCTCGAGGAGAGAGGTGAGGAAAAGGTCGTACGTGGCCCATGTGATATCGTAAGTGTTGTAAAAGGCGTGCCAGCTGTAGTAGGCACGTAGCGCGCCCAGCGCAACGACGCCGTAACCCATGGCAAAGATGCCGAACAATGCCAGTTTCTGTTGTAGAGGAATCTGGAGGTTCCAGTACAGAAATGTAGGTAGGATAGCAGTGAGAAGATCTTGCGTCGCCGAGATGATGCTGGCGGCGAGGACGTCGGCACCTTCATCAAAGCAATGGAACTCGTACCCTTGTAGTCTCTTGATGGGGTTAAACTGCTCCCAAAACGCCTCTATCGGTTGGCAGCCGACGATAGGAGCAACCGTCAGGGCGATACTGTAGGCAACGATGTATACAATCGCAATCCAGGTTGTCCAGAAAAACCCTCGTGATACCACACGAGATGACAGTCGGCGATAGAACAGGAGAATAGACACCTTGACCAGCCCAGTAGCGACGCAAAAGATAGTCTCGGCCGCCAAGACGTATTTTCTGGCAATGACCACGCGCAGTGGATCGGTAAAAGCATCCAAATCCCAGATGTGCCTGTCAAAAGCCTGCTTGGTTGCTGACACATGTTAGATGTATTTTTTTCCAACGGGAACACTCAACTTACCAAGGGGATACAGAGCTGTCAAAGCAATTGTAGGTGGCTATAAAAGTCAGCATATAAGAGTAAAGGGATTGATGGAACCGACTATAGATGCCAGCATCAGCCAATCGTCGACTCCTGCACTCTTCTGGTGGTATATCCTGACCCATATCCTGACGAGACACAAGCACACACTGAGTGGTCCCAGGATATAGGCCAGTATGATGATAGCGTCTGATCGCAGCTCTGGGTTCACAAAGTTGGCAGCTGGCCAGTTCTGTGAGACCTCCAGAGGAGGGTAAAGTCCACCAGGCATTGTGGGAAGAAAAAAAGATGCTCTGCTATGTTTGAGATGTTTGAGGTGTAGCAGAGTTCAGTGAAGTTTTCTTTTCAGTGAAGGCATGCCTCCCATATGTGCCTGGTGGCTTTGGCCAGCCAAGACATCTGAGTAAGTAAGGGACGGGGCTTCGTAACAGCTTGACTAGGGCTTTGGAAAAGTGGATGGACTACAAAAAAAGAAAATAAAGGGCCCAAACAATGCATAGGACCATTGAATAATTCACCAAGGTAGTATCCCGCATGACCGGTACTTGAGAGAATTGCCAGCTTTGGAGTCACTTGCATACACTAGCCCGCAACGCGAAGATCCCATGTAAGCTATACGTCGCTCAGGGCTCGGGTTCGCATGAGGATTCCTAGCTGACAGGGGCATGTCATCCGTCGTCGACCTCTGACATGCCCGTCGAGGCGGATCTGCTCAACGTGCCGAAGAGATTTCTCGACCGATTGATCGGTGAAAAAACAAGGACGACGGTGGAGATGAACGGGTGTGATTTTCTTCATTTGTCGAAGTTGCTGACGCATTATTGCTTTTTACACAGTAGATTTCCACCGTGGCCTGGGTAAAAGGATGTAGGTCCTCAACCTGCAAAGGCACCGGAATAGCCTCTGCCATCTACATGTTTTTCTCCCCATGAGGGTTTTGAGTCATTGCACCATGTTTGGGAGCTTTTCAATTTGGAAAGACCCGTTGAACGTCAGGATTTGGAAGTCGGCAGCGGCGCAAGCGGGGCTGATATGGATCCAGAGGGCGGAAGTCGGACGCTCCCGTCAGTGTGGTCCTGGTCGACTATTTGCCCGAAGTAGTGCTAAGCGCTGAATGAAACCAACTGTTGCTCGAACCATTGCGGGCGTATGGGCTGCACAGACCGGAAACGTCACTGCACCGTTTGCTGGACATACATATACCAGATCTTTTATCCCCGGTTGCCGGTCTATATGTATGCACCTGCATCCAGATCGGGGACCCCCAAAGGACAGATGCCACGGTGACAGCTCTTGGCCCACAAAATTCGACTCTCTAGGTAGAGTGGCGGAAATGAGCGGGCTGGAGTACATGTATGATTATGCACTACAGAGAGGTACGAATCCGATTGATGCAACCTGCGCAGCGATTGCCACGAAAGGAATTCTTTTGCCAGGTTTGCAAATCTGAAGCAAGAAAAAGTAAAAAGCAGCTGCCGTTAATTACGTCTAGACGTCCAGGCGTCCCAGCGTTCGTTGTGACGGGGGCCTAGCTGCAGTGGGCTTGACAAGCGAGAGGCGTGGGGTAAAGTCAAAGTGACGACTGTGTTGCAAAGGATGTTTCGAATATTTAGTAGTAATGAATTCATGCGATTGTTGACGTGATTAATTTGTTGCCTGGTTTGTACATCTGCACTCTGCCGAATGGGGTGTGCTCATGGTGATGCAGGTTGAAATGCGCAGGTCATGGACGGTTTGTCTTGAGAGTACACTATTGCCATCGGAAGAAGCCGCGCGTTGCATGCAGCTCATACATGGGTGACTGGCCTTTTTTCTTCTTTACAATCTGGAGTATACGAGGAGGTTAGAGTCTAGAATGTTCACATATACGCGAGACACCTGAGAGGGCCGGATAGCTGACATTCCATCGGGAGAGGCAGAATGTGCGTCCACTGGCCAGCATTTTGACATATATAACACAATTTATGACGTTTCGATGGCAGCCATCAACGCAGGCCTTGGAATCATCGGTTCAGGTGTGGCTCTTGGTGCTGCAGGAACTTTTGCAAAGGGTATGGGCTTGTTCGTCCATGTTTGCTTTTGCTGAAACATGCCGGAGCGCCGTTGACTAGCGTGCATCTAAAAGCAGCCTGCCGACATGAACTGGGCAAATGCGTCAAAGCTTCGGATGTAGTCATCCGCTACTGGAACCGTTTACGGGAAAAAAAACATGTATGCTTTTGGTATAGAAGCACGGCTGGCCCCTAGCACATGTCGCAGGTTTGCAATGAGTTGAAATCACAAGACTTTGCTTTGCCGTATAAGAGGCGGCGGCGAGACTCCGCTCTGGCCATGATGCCAACGTGATGTAGTATGCGCAGCGTCGCATCACAAGCCGGTAACGACTGCTATACGATGGCAATGCATCTCGCCCCATCTGCTCACACTAAAGGATTCGATCGATATCGGTGGCTGGCGTGCAGCGCGGGGGCGAACGGAAACCTTTCCAGCGTGGACCGAGTGCCAAAAGTGCAGACTTGCGGGGCGCAAAAGAAATGTATTACATATAGAAGTATGTGGTATTGTTAACAGGCTGCGGACCTCGGTGACAGGTTTCGTTTTCGCCTGAGCGGATGGAAAGGGGAAGTGGATGCGGAGAAGGCGTTAGTGACCCCGTTGCTTTTCTAACCCGATGCCAAAACTGCCGATAGTGATGGTTCCGGCTGTGCAGGCATCATGGTAGCACAGAGGGAAAAGAACATGTTCTCAACATGCCTGGGTAGCCGTGTACTCTACTTGATGCGGTGGGGGTATGTGATGCGCCTTTGCGTGGGATGCCGTTGAACGATAGGTAAGTCGGCGACTAGACAGTCTAGGCTGGTTAGGGAGTTATTACAGTGCTGAAGACTACACCTAGGTAGTACAGTAAGTATGTACAGTAGTGTGTAACATGTGCCTAGCTTGGCCGAGTCGACGTAGAATAAAATAAGAGGGGCTGACTGAGTGCATGGTCTGTGAGGCATTGTTATTAATGGCGGGTGGGGGCATTGTGATTGGACCATGTTGCACAAGGGGTGTTCCGAGGACCTATGGATTTGCTAGGCGGTTGTTAAAAGGCTTGTATACTCAGTACTTGTGTACACTACATACATCCAAAAGAGAAGACAGAATGCTGCGTAATCTCTTCTCCGACTGCGAGTCAAATCAATGACAGGCACTGATGCACAATGACGGCAGTGCTCTGGTGTTGAGGGGCTTACCGAGCATGTTGGTGGAGTGACGTATGTGCATGGCAAAGATTTGTTCCTGTTGCGCCCGTTCTGCCCACCAAAAAACTTCGGCCGCGCCTCACCGCCTGCGCTCGGTCAGCCACTTATGGCTTACTCAGTCACACTTCCATACTCGAACCCAAACTTTTCGGCTCGTTTTGGTAGTGACATAGCAATGGGCATGGCTAGCTCGACAGCACTATCGGGCTCATGGCTACATGCTCGAGTATATGGAGCACCTTTTTTTCCAATGGCCGGCTGCTGCAATAATAGCGCCGTCAAGCCGCGACACCAGCCGCGCCCAACTCCCGGATATACGACGAGACTAAATAGCCCTCCCGTCGCGTATTAGCAGGCAAGATCCACCAGCTCCACTACGATCGCCCGACGTCAGGCTCGAACTTTCGGCACTGAGTGGCTAGCTTCGGGCTGCCCAAGATTGTTTTCTTTCTTGCATTCGACCACCACCAAAAACTGCCGCTAGATTTGGACCAGAGACAAGCGTGCCACCACCATGCAGGAGGAGGACTACGAGGTTCTGCGCAACGAGGCCAATGCGAACCCAGAAGCCTATTCAACATGGGATCCCAATCGCCAGTTTCGCGAGCAGTACCACCAGCGCCATATGCACGACCAGACTCTTGCTGAGCGTGAACGCAACATCGCAGCCCATGAGCGCGGAGAGCGCAGAGCGAGCGAGTCGCTAGCCCCACGCGAGGAAGAAGCAACGCCTGTGAGAGAGGAAGTAGAGGAAGTCGCATCGCCTCTGTCACGCCACAGCACATCCTCCACCTCGACCACGAGCTCTACAAGCTCAGCCTCGACACACAGCGCCCGCCTCGAGGAAATCCGCACCGCACATTCGACGCCCGCACGCGACCGCCGACCGACTGTCAACTCGCAGACCTCGAGCGCAAACTACCTCACCCTGCACCCCACCGAACGTCATCCTGAAGCCATCCGCCGCATAGAAACACATCGCAGCCAGCATGCCGGCACCGTTGGAGCCTCCCCGTCCGATTCGCGTCTGTCCAGAACTCTCACACGACGCCGCACCGAGAAGCCCCTGCCCAATCTTGGAGCTGGAAAGCCGTTTCCTCCACCTCTGCCCGATAGGGAAGAATATGTCGTCGAGTTTGATGGCGTAGATGATCCACTACACCCGCAAAACTGGCCCATGAAGAAAAAGCTGGGAATTGGCGCTATGCTGGCTTTTGATGCGCTCGCTGCGACCATGGGCTCCAGCATCTTTTCAGCTGCAACAATTCCCGTCTCTCGCCAGTTTGGTGTAGCAAACGTCGTAGGTACGCTGGGTACGAGTTTGTTCGTCTTTGGATATGCCTTTGGACCTTTGGTATGTACATATGCACGCCGCCCAACCAGAGACATAATGTACTGATAAGCTGCAGATGTGGGCACCTTTCTCCGAGCTATACGGCCGAAAACCCCCTCTCATCATCGCCTCCCTTGGATTCGCCATCTTCAGCATCGCTGTCGCCGTAGCCAAAGATCTCCAAACCATTATGATTTCCCGTTTTTTCGCTGGTCTCTTTGGATCATCACCATTAGCCATTGTCGCAGCTGTCTTCGCCGACATGTTTGACAACCGGCTCCGTGGTCTAGCTGTCGCCGTCTTTTCTGCCACAGTTTTCATGGGACCTTTACTTGCCCCTTTTATTGGTGGCTTCATCACGGAAAGCTACCTTGGATGGAGATGGACCGAATACGTTTCGAGTTTCATGGGATTCCTGGCGTTTGTGTTACTGTTGTTCTTTATGGAAGAGACGTACCCACCTGTAGTGCTCATCAACAAGGCCAGCGAGCTCCGACGTCGAACAAAGAACTGGGGCATACACGCAAAGCAAGAGGAGATTGAGGTTGACTTTAAGGAGCTGATTATCAAGAACGTCAGCAGGCCCATGCGCATCCTGTTCACAGAGCCCATCGTCTTACTCATCACCATTTACATGAGCTTTATCTGTAAGTTCAAGAATTGTATTTCCTCGCTTCAGGACGGTATGCTAATTATACCAGATGGTCTGCTCTACCTCTTCCTGACTGCCTATGCGCTCGTCTTCCAACGTGTATATGGTTGGAGTGCCGGCATCGGCGGCCTTGCGTACTTTGGTATGGTCGCTGGTGAAATCATTGCTTTCATCGTTGTCGTATGTGACAATCCACGATACGCTAAGAAGCTGGCGGCAAACAACAATATTCCTGTCCCAGAGTGGCGTTTACCAATCGCCATGGTCGGCGGTGTTCTCTTTTCTGGTATGTAACTGTCTAACAAGCTTTCAGCTGACCCCTGCTAACGCACAACAGCTGGTCTATTCTGGTTTGGTTGGTCAGGTTACACTGGCAATGTCCATTGGATTGTTCCTGTCCTCTCTGGCCTCTTTACTGGATTTGGAATCTTCTCTATTTTCCTCTCTTTGCTCAACTACATTGTAGACGCCTACCTCATGTTCGCCGCTTCCGCCATTGCCGCAAACACATTCATGCGGTCCATATTTGGAGGCATATTTCCTCTTTTCGCTACCTTCATGTTTGAAGGCATGGGCATTGAGTGGGCAAGCACACTGCTTGGATGTGTAGCCGCAGTGTTGGTACCCATGCCTGTATTCTTTTACTTGTATGGAAAGAGAATTCGAGCCAAGAGCAAGTTTGCACCAGCGCCGGATATCGCCCAGGACAGAAGGAGAGACGAAGAGAGCAAAGGATCAGAAGTAGCTGAGAGTGGAGAGATGACAGAAAGGGAAAGTGTGAATGGCGAAAATGGAGGATTGCACAAGGAGACGAGCAAGGACCAGTAGAGGTTTAAAGGCGTCAAATATTCTTTTCTTGTACATCTAGTAAACTATTAGACCTTTAATTCAAGCGGCATCTTGCCCATATCTCATGCGCCTCAATGGAGATAGATGTTGTGCCAGAGTGCACGACAGCATCGTTTTCAGTAAGCCGGGCCTGTGGCAAAGGAAGGTTAGCCGAGGTGCAGTCTAGTCTTGGAATAGAGATCGGGCCGTATGAGAACGAGGCCCCGGACGACAGTCCTCCAGATCTGCCCCACAACACCAGCCCGTGACGCAGACATACCCAGCATTTGGGATCGTGGGGCAAGTATGGTCAGTCGTATTCGTTGGAATTGGTATTACTTCCGGATTTCAGAAAAATGTATAAAAGCCTTGCACGTCAACTCCATATCTCGGCACTCGACACCCTCCCACGGACACCTCACTTCGAACAGCCCTATTTCTTACTCAAGTCTTACATCATATCAATACCGCCAACATGTCCATGTCCGTGGAAGAATGTCAAACGACACGCGCTGGCTTTCCCAAGCCGGTGCCTGATACACCCACTAATGTGATGCAACAATTCAGCATGAAGGGCAAGACTATTGTCGTCAATGGAGCCGCCGAGGGTATTGGCGGTGCTGTCGCAGATGCCATGGCTGAAGCGGGAGGCAACGTCGCCCTATGGTACAATTCCAACAGCAAGGCCGTCGAGCGTGCAGAGAACCTGGCAAAAGAGCACGGGGTCAAGACAAAAGCGTACAGCGTCGACCAGACCGATGCCGCCGCCGTAGAAAAAGCTGTCAAGCAGGTTGTCGAGGACTTTGGCCGCATCGACTGCTTCGTGGCAAACGCAGGCACAGGAGATAGCAAGCCCCTGCTCGATCAAACACTAGAGTCCTACCACAACCTCATGCGTGTCAACGTCGACGGACCAGTCTACTGCGCCAAGTACGCCGGTGAGGTGTTCAAGGAGCAAGGATTCGGCAATCTGATCCTCACATCGAGTATCTCAGCACACATCGTCAACGTACCCGTTGACCAGCCAATCTACAACGGCACGAAGGCTTTCGTGTCTCATCTGGGGAAGTCGCTGGCGCGCGAGTGGAGGGAATTTGCACGGGTAAACATTGTTAGCCCGGGATTCTTCGACACAAAGATGGGTGCGGGACCGCTGGTTATCAATGAGGGACTGCGTATGATTCCCCTTGGACGACAGGGCAATGTCAAGGAGATCAAGGGACTGTTTTTGTATCTGGCGAGTGATGCGTCGAGTTATATGACGGGAAGCGATTGCATTATTGATGGCGGATATGTGCTACCATAACGCAGGGATACGAGATGAGGATTTAGAGAAGAATTTATGAATTAATGAGTTGAAACTCTGTTCTTCGGTACATGGTTCCCTAACTCACCCCACGTGGCAACCGTTGATGTCTGTCCAATCTGATACCAGGCATTACACAATATGGTCTTTGAGGTATCTTACCAATCACGCTTGTTGAGACAAGACTTAGTTTTGCTGCCTGAGCGGTCGGCTCATAAAAGTTTGTCTCCTTCCTCCTTACTCAAGCTTGACGTTTCTTCCGCTTCATCTTTCCTCTTTCCTCTTTCCTCACAACAATAAGCAACGTCCTCAAGGGTGTGTGAGCACGACTGAAATAACACTGACTTGTAAAAGTAGGGCGTACAAACTCACCACAGTAATGCAGAACTAACTTTTCCCTCCTTACAGAGCGTTTACATTCCACTAAGTGGGCCGTCGCGTTTGCTCTAGCTAAAATGTCTCAAGTTGCTGCTTCCGTATCAAAATTTTCAGCATTACAGCAGTCACCACGGCATAGCTGTGATCCTCCAGATTGATAACTACTACTTTAACTATCGATGGGCTGCACTGATCCAAATAATACAGCCCACTTCTTACTGAACAGTACAGATTCAGAATCTAAAATGAAGTTGATAGAGACCAACCTCTTCGCCACTCACCAAGAGCCATGCCCATCTCATCGTGAACGCACGGTCACTTTGGCCCTGATCACTGTGAATTTGTCTGTCACTGGCGTTTGTTCATGCAGCAATAATTTCTTGCTCACATTTACTTGTAGGCGGCTATCCAAGAGTATATATCTTCGCTCGCCCTACAGTTCTTGTCCTCGTCGTACTTACGAGTGGAGGCTGATAGTTTCAATACACTCAAGGAAGCTGTTGATCAAGCTGAACAAATCTTTCAAAGCACAACGAAAATATTCCAGCTGTCTGGTCCAGACACAACTTCGACAGCCGGTTCCCTTCTACACCACATTATTGTCCACACTTGACGTCCTGTCAAGTGACAGCAAAGAACCGACACATATCAACATGGCGTTAGTACCCCCCCCCCCCACCCGCCCGCTCCAGCTTGTTGTTGTTTTGGCATCGTTTGATCGACCTTGTTGTTGTTTTGAGTCAATTTCTGCATGAAATGGGATCTCTGGTAAGCATGAAGCGAACCCTATTGACAAGAGAAGACCAACTCGCTCTACTTCGACTCCTCGACGCGTATCCACCGTCAGTATTCAGAAGCGGTCGGTCAAGAGAAGCACAATACGCCAAGCTTCTACCGCTGATACAGACACACCCGAGAGAACTGAGGCTCGCAAACGTGGAGGTGCTCAATCCTTTCGTTTCTTGGATCTACCTGGAGGTACCACTGATTCCAATGGCGAAAGCAGCCCAAGCTAAATAGTCGCAGAGATCCGGAACAGAATCTACGAGTACATGCATGGCCAGCAGACTCAACTTGTGCTCGTTCACCGGCCACGCATCGCCTCTCTACGTCCCCGTACCCGGCTTGATCGAAGCCGCACCCTCCCATCAGATATCGCTGCCCAAGAATACGAAGAGAGACTCTCGAGCGACAGCAGCATCACCAATGGCTCCGAGTCCGAGAACATTCCTCGAAAAACCAGCCGTCCGTTCTGGGGATTGACGCAGGCGAGCCGGCAGCTCAGGTATGAATTTCGCCCGATCTACTTGATCAACCAGGAGATTGGCCTTGACTTGAACAACATATCCGGTTATTTCAAGGCCTTCTATCCCTCTGCCGCCAAAGAGCTTGCCAAGATCGGTCCTTCAGGCGAACGGGAGTCTACCCTGTCTTTCGTCGGTCATGTCACGGTTGCACTTGGTGAGACGGCCAACAAAGAAGAACGTGGCCCCAAAGGCATCGAAGTACTACCTCTGATTGAGGTTTGGGCAAACGGCTTCTCAATGCAGGCTGGATTCGGTCGCTATGCGACGAGTGGCCACCAATGGCCGGTCGATGCAGAGACAAAGGATCTGTGAGTTACATATACTATTGAATCTAACTAGGCCTTTGCAAGGAACATTTCCACTGATTGTGTTACAGCTACCGCGTCCTTGGCCGTCAAGTTCGGAGGGACCAGTCTTGCTCAGAGACGAACGAGCGCTGGAGAGAGATTCTGCGCTGCCGGTATCTTGCTTCGGTCCGTATTCATCGCGTTCCGGTGGTGAGATATGTCTCAACACCAGGATGGGCTATACCTCCGGAGCTCCTCGCTGCTTCTATCCCCATACCCACAAACAGCGCCTACCCGCCCAACGTCCAGATGTTCCGTGTTCCAGTGGTACCAAGACCATACATACACCTCATATTCAGGAAGGACAAGGCCGAGCCCTGGATGACAGAGTTAGAGTCTGTGATTCCCGATAATTGGCTGCTTCAGCACGGCTTTGAAACCATGGAGCACTTCGAGGTCAAGGTGGGCGTTAAAGAGTAAAACAATAGCCGGGGTCCTCGCGCCGCTGATTCTTTGAGTCTTGAATTTTGGCACGCACGCACTGCACATGAATGGTAAGTACGAAAAGTTTTGCTCCATTTGGGCGCAAGTTTTCGGAGGTACTCTTGATCATTAAGGCACTCTTGTTACTGGGAGCGCTAGTCCGTCTGGCAAAGGGGATGGGCATTCATGAGGAGGTGAGCATGGCATATGGATGGCAAGTGGAGGGTAATGATTCAGTGGTATACTTAGCGATGGAGGTATGACTCGACGACATATCAAATGAGGGGGGAATGGTTCGGTGGTACACGCAGTGAAGGAGGGATGGTTCAGTGGCATACAGTCAGCGGCAGATATCGCAGCATCGAACCCATCACTGGCCTACTTTTTGGGTATCTACCGAGAATACTTGCATTCGGAATAACAGTCTTGCAACACCAACAAACACATACATCCACATATGTGATATCCGTGGGTCCACTAACACGTCTCGCCTTGCCGTTGTGCCGATAGACGAAGTATATTTTGCTTTTCGAAACCGAATGAGCAGATAACAAGGAGCACTCGGCCGCGCTGCAGCCCCCGTTGTGCGCCATTGTCCAATGGGGGTGTTGTTTTGCTGAGCGGAGTGTGCTTCAGAAAAAGAAATCATGACGCACACACCAATGCAGCCAGTGGTTGTCACTAAAAACAAAAAACATGAGTGCTGGCAAGAAGATAGCCGTGGAATCCTGTCGATATCTGCATAGCATATTGATGGTAATGGTCCAGGGCCTTGTCGTGAAGACGCCAGGCACGTGCTCTCTCGTCATTCCCCGCTCGCAGCTCCACCCTACCCTGGAAGCCGAAACTCTTGCAACCGTCATCGCCACCGACGCGTATGTGGATTTCTCAAACAACAGGCCAATATGGCGTAACCACACACATCCACATTCATTTCTACCGCTAGGACAGTTGGTGCGCCCCTGAATTTCGCGTTTCCAATGTGCAACCCGTCCCCCCTGCATTCGCGCCATGAGACGGGGACTGTCGAGTGGGTGGACAACAGCTGTATCTGCATCAATTGGCGTTGAGGAGGTGGCAAAGCCTCGCGCAACGCGATTCTTTTCCTGTGAGCCATTGTTGAATGAGGTACTCGATAGAGTGATGGTCCGCCTTCCGCTAGTCCAAAACACCCAATGGCGCATGCACGTCCAAGCATCCCCTGCTACCGTGAGGTCATTGACAAGGATGCAGACCAGTTCCCACACTTCCCACACACTCACTACTACTGTTCACCAACCCTTGTCCGGGTGTTGTTATCTTTAGCAACTACAGCAGCCGACAACTCATGAAGCTTTATGTCGTTCAGGTGTCATCTGGCCAATAACTTTGACGACGTCTTTTGCTGCCACTACATTCCCGACCCAGACCCAGACATTCTCCCACTAGCACCAACCGCAGACATGTCGCGACCACAAAGCATGCCCGACTTTACTGCTCTTATGGACTCGTCCAAGTCCCTATTTGAACAAACAACCACCTCAAATTTTGAAAGACGCATACACAGTCGACGACAGACGTCACCAGAGCGAAGGACCCAGCAAACACGCAAGAAACCTAGCATCTCGCTCGCAGCTGGCTTGATGATGAATACAGAGTCTCCATTAGTCACTGGCTCGATGTCGCCCCGCAAGGGGAGTGGTAGTCGGCCTCCTGAAGAGGGAAGGGTAGAGACAGAGGAAGGCGATACTCTCTTCTACGCCTATGCGAAGCGAGTAAGTGGTGTCTGCTATGTTCTTTGCGACAATCGGCACCTGGATGTCCAGACTGACAGACTCCATAGAGCGACTACCCATCCTCGCCTCCCTACATCCTCACATTCGCCTCGGCTGCCGTATGCTCGCAATGGTGGCACCTTGTCCAACAAAACTACCCTTCGTCCGCCCGTCGCCCGAGCCCCCAGTTCTTCATCATGCGCAGCGAAGACATAGAACTCATACAAGACGATTTAAAATTCTTCGACCTCCGCAATAAATGGTTCTACTCCTCCCAAGACAGTCCCACCTGTCCCCCCGTCGTCCTCCCAATCCAACACTCCAACGGCACACTCGCCCTCCCACCTTCTCCTCTCCCATCTGAAGAAAAGCCAAACACCTCCGCCCTCGACAGCCTCGCCGAAAGCCTTACCCGCCTCGCCAACATCGTCGAAACAAATGCCGAACAAGTCCACGCCCTCTCTGTCGCCCAATCAACCGGCCTACAAGCAATGCAAGAAATCAACGAATCAAACAGCATCCAAATAAAAGCCATTTCTGCCTCCCAACTCAAACTCCAATCTCTCGTCGACCAAAACGCATCCCACTACATTGCCCTCTCCAATAAACATTTCGAATCGCAAGAGTCTACGCGACAAGCCCAAGAGCACAGCCAAAAAGCACAAGATGAAGCAAAAAATCTCCTCACATCGACGCTATCCCACGTCAACTCACTAGCGAAAGCGCAGTCGGATCTTGCGCAGACGTGCCAATCTATGATGCAGAGTTTCGAGTCTTTCACCCATAATAATCATAGCATGGTGGGATCGGATGCGGCGAGTTCACATTCACTGGGTTCGACGACGTCGAGTGGGGTGCTTGCAAGCCGGATTAGTCCGCCGCCGAGGAAGTTGAACCGGAGGGTTAAAGGGGTGTGGTATGAATATGATAATAGTGTTCCTGGGACTACTGGGACTGGGACAACAATGGTGCGGAAGAGGGCGGATTCGGTGGGGGTGGAGACGCCGCCGAAGAGTCCGGTAGTGTTTAAGTCGTGAGGTTGATTCTTGTTCAAGGAGAACGATGTGTACTATAGGCGATGGTTTCTTTTAATGCTTCGTTTCTCGTTTAGCGGGGTTTGGTATTGAAAGGTGTTTGAAATTTGCATACTACAGTATCTAATCGTATGGCGTTGTATGGTTGCTGGAAGGAATTCAAAAGTACTACTATATTTATCAAGCAATGATTAGTTTCTCAACTTCATCGCCAACCCACACATCTACAACCTCCTCGCCAATTCCACAGCCTCTTCCACCAACTCCTCCAGCGTAATCTTGGGCAACCCCAACTTCTCATTCCAAACCTGCTGCTCACTCGGAAAATCGTACCCAACATCCACATCCGCCCCGAAACTCAGCGCCAACAGCCCAAACGTCGCACTTGCATCCCCTTCCTCATATTTCCTCTTCAAACGCTCAATCTCCGTCTTACTCTCCCTCTCCTCCACCTCGAACGTCTCCCCACTAGCCTTCTCCAACGCCTCCACAATCTCCCTAACACTGACCATAAAATCGCACAGAAAAATCTGCTGATTCGCCGTCTCCTCCGCGCGCAGCAGCACCTGCGCGACCGCCCTCCCCGTATTCTTACTCGACGTAACCGCAAACTTCTTATTGCCCGAATCCCAAACCCTCGCCGTGCGTCCCTTAACATCAATCCCTAAGAAGTTACCGGATTGGGCGGGATTCAGCGCCCAGTCCAGCCAGCTACCGCAGCAGATACTACTCCACGTCATCCTTCCCTGACTCTTTTTACAAGTCTCGATGAGGTAGGATAGCATATCTCCCTTGATATCATACGTAGGCACCAGCGCTCTCGCACGGGGGTCCAAGTTATTCGCCCCAAACTCGCTGGGGATAAAGCGTTTCACGCCCGCCGCCAACGCGGCGTCGATGAGGCGGAAGGCGAGGCCGTCTTTTCCGCCGGCTGTGACGGGGGCGGTGGATAGGGCGACGACGATGGCGTCTTGACCCGTGAAGAGGGAGGTTAGTTCTGGCGTTGTGAAGGCGTCGGAGATGGTTTTTACGGTGATGCCTGGGGGGAAGGTAGCACGGGAGCTGGCGCGTGTGCCGATTGTTATCTCGAGGGAGGGAGAGGAGAGGAGCGCGGTGAGGATGGGGAGGCCAACTGAGCCGGTTGCGCCGAGGATGAGGACTTTGTGGATGGACATTTTGGGGGGTGGGGATGGGGGTTTGAAGGAGTTAGGGAGTGCTCGAGAGTTGGTAATGTGTGAGCTGGGTAGTGCTGTGTGATGATATTTTTTTGATATTCTCATCACGGCCTTTTATACCTGTTCAAACTCATCTTGAATCCTACTTTACAAATGCCGTCAATTCAGTCTTGCGGTGGAGCTGTAGTCTCGTTCGATGCCACTATACCAGATGTGTTGTTCATTTCGAACTGCTGCATCGGCCGCTGCATCCTCACTTTGCGCCCCGGCGATTATGGCTAATTACTCAGCTGTAGTCTATACCGGGATTGTGTAACTTCAGCATCGTCGGGTGGAGAAAAGTAATCAGCACGTGACGACTAGGGTTGATGCGGTATAGTGGCCATATATAGTGTCCGCCTTTGCAGCCGCGGTGATGTAGTAATCATAGTAACGTGTTGTAAGCAGCGATTTCGCCAGGGCATGAAAACTCCCCATGACTTCCTCAGCCATATAAGAACCTGGAAGGAGTTGTTACGGGCGGAAATGAAGTAGTGTCGCTGAATCTTCGGACTGAACACCCGTAGTCATAATATGAGTGCCAAGTCATGCATATCGTATCTAGAATACAGTCTCGAAAGATAGCTAAATGGCTCAGAGAAGTGTACTTTCTTTTTCAATTTGTTTTCTTGCAGAGAGGTGGGCGGATGAGATGTAGAGTACGTGCGGGGTTTACTTTTGTGCGATGTGACGGCGGGATCGGGCCGCAGATTCCCCGGCGTTCCTTCTTGTCTTGCCGCATCACCATGGTATCATCTGAAGATCTTTACCACACCCAATCTCGTGCGCACTGCGCATTATCTGCATGTGTCTACCCGTAGTCGGCCATCCAATACTATCTCGAGATGCGTGGTTTGCCCAATCTGGCCGTAGCTATATAACGGACAACGGCATCATACTGGCTTCTTCATTGAAGGTGCCTTAAACAATACTCTACCATGGAGAGAGCGAATCTTCGCGACTGCTAGGCGCTGTGGTAGGATTTTAGTATTGCTTCAGCCTTTCTCCGCAATCTATCACCGACGCTATACTTTCGGTTCTCCTGACATACCGTGGTACATGCACTTCAACCAGGCATCCAATCCCATTCATCTCCGCGCAGCACTACATGCAGTGCTCGAGTAATCTCGCCACCTACTACGTGGCCGCGGCGCGACCGAACGGTGGTGATCCATAATAAATAATAAGTCGTAATGTTAGTCGCGGGAAGCATTACCAAACTTCTAATAAAAGAGCTACTGCAAGTGTATAGTGCCATATGATTGATGCCCCTTGCGTAGGCGGATCCCATGGAACACAGGCGCTTAGCGCTCGCCTTCTCCGCCTTCGTGCTACAATGGCCTATTACCTTCGGATACCACGGAATGTCCTTGCTTCTGCGATCCTTCTCGTCAAATTGCAGACCCATGGGATATCTGGACGATCGCCATGCGGGTATCCACCCTATGCCCTGGTATTATTGGCTATCCTCCTTTGCGAAGTCCAGGTACCCATGGGGCTGGGGAAAGAGTAAGAAAAGTGCGGTCAAGTGTTAAGTACTCCATTCTATCCATACCCCGCCCTAGCTCAAGATCTGTCAACGATTGGGTATGTCTCCAGCCTTGCTACAAGATAATGAAGTATTGTGGATCCGTGTATACATACTTTACATTTTGTTCTGTCGGCAGCTATCATGCGCCATGTGTCGGTAATCGCCGCTCTATGCTTTTTCCTCTACAATAAGCATCGCTAAACGGGCTTGAAACAATGCAGCAGCACCTTTCACAGCAGTCTGTATGCACGGGAATCCTCTCGGAGCCGCACGACACGCGAGTCACCGCTTATGAAGGCCTTTCACCGCTCACGTGCAGACGAATCTTGTCTGTTAAGCAAAAGCACAAGCAACGCTTCTGATGAATAAGAGCGCTCAATAAAGAATGTGTCACAAGCCAAGCCTCCTGGATTAATCTAGCCGTTGGAGGTGTAGCTTTCCATACCAGGCACATGGCGTCAAGCCGGACAAGCGATTCAGAGCGCTCAACTACCCTATTTCATTGACAACATCCCCTAATAGGAAAGACCATGTACTATCCCACCCTTACCAAATTGCCGATACCGTCACTACAAGCCCCGAATGGCTTGGCTACAGCAGACTACCTGTTCCCGAAATGGTGTTTGCAACAACCAAGGATACCTTGTCATATCGTGCACGTTTGCTGTTACATCGTGCCATAAAATGCGGGCTTGAGGCGGACCACCCATCATCACTTCTACACATCATCATCAGCCACTGTGTGCTTACCTGGCGTTAGTTCAGGTGTTGGCCAAGAAGTAAACGCAGATATAGGTAATCTCGCCACGGCATTGCTGTCGTGTATCTTGCTCAAACGCAAGTATTAGTAGGCGAGTCAAAAAATGCGGGCATGGCACTAGGAGCCCGTTTGAGAGACTGACGAAAAAGTTGAGGCAGATAACGCGGCACGAAACACCATTGGATACGCAACAAGAAACGTTTGTGGCGTCAGGGTACAAGCTCTCGAGGCCCATGTTTGTACTACGACTACTGCATGAACTGTGAGAGGGCTAACATTAGCCAATATCTGTAGGTAGGGTAGTTCCGCATCTTTGCAGCCGATTGATGCACACTAATGCTAACCCTCCCAAGCCAAAGCTTACCGAGTGTTTGTAGCTTATGCTACTCGTCAATTCCAACATACACTAATTCAGTCTGCAGCAAGCATTCTTACCGGAGACGTATGAGAGCTCATAAAACGCAGATAGGTGGGGTCTAAGGTTGTTGATGACTGGCATGGCTGGTTGGTCTTCATGACATGAGGTGGCGCTGGAAACGGATGTAGACTGGTTACAAGGTATGCCCTTGGCCGACTACAAATACCCAAGTTGCTCGCATACGACGAATGCGTGGTAAAGAAACTCACGTTTACGCTACAGCCTTGAGCATTCGCCACCATGCTTAAGACGCCCACTGTGGATTCAAGTCTAGTTGATGCGCTGGAACTGATATCGCAGACGGGTCATACGAGCCATTCGCAAAATGACGCTACGAGCACAGTGGAAATGATGCCAATACAGTCCAAGAAGGATGAGATGAGCGTGAAAGAGGATGAACAGCAACCTGCAGCCGCCAGTCCCCGCTCATCAGTCGCAAGCAAAAGTCCACCAACCTCCGATAGTAGAACGCCATTCCGGATAATGGCAGCATTCGTCGCGCTTACTCTTTCGCTGTTTCTGGTAGCTCTTGATACGGTTCTCATACCTACCGCTCTACCGACCATATCGCAATCTTTTCAAATCCCGGATTCACTTTATGCCTGGACTGGATCCGCTTACCTACTCACCAATGCCGCGTCGATACCGTTCTGGGGTAAACTGTCGGATGTATTCGGAAGAAAGTCTGTTTTGCTCATCGCCAACTCCATCTTTCTGGGTGGTAGCATCGTCTGCGGAGTGAGCGTCAATGCCCCTATGCTGGTTACAGGTCGAGCTGTCCAGGGCCTTGGTGGCGGTGGTGTAGTAGTGCTGGTGCACGTGTGTGTCAGTGACTTGTTTTCAATTCGCAACCGCTCCTTCTACATGGGCATGGTCGGGGCAGCATGGGCACTCGCCTCTGCTCTAGGTCCAGTGCTTGGCGGTATCTTTGCCGAAGAGTTGAGTTGGAAGTGGTGTTTCTACATCAACATACCGATTGTTACGATTTCAATCATTGTGCTCTACTTCACTCTCGAGCTCCATGATCCCAGAACGCCGCTCCTCCAAGGCCTTGTTTCTGTCGATTGGGTTGGCATAACTACGATCATCACTGCTGCCGTCCTATTGCTGGTCGGTCTTCAGATGGGTAGTGGTGGTTCGTATGCAAACCCAATGGTCATCTCACTTATCGTCCTTGGATCAGCTATCTTCATGGCTTTTCCGTTGTCCCAATGGTGGGAGGACAAACGCGGCGGCAGCCCCATCATGCCCCTGCGCATATTTAGAGACATCAGCAACCTCAGTGCACTGGGTGTCTGTGCATGCGATGCTTTGGTATTCAACTCCGTGGCATACTTCCTGCCGCTTTACTTTCAAATCGTCCTCGAAATGAGTCCGGCAACCACTGGACTCTTGATGCTCGCCGTTGCTATACCGCTAGCAATCGTATCTTTGACATCAGGATGGGTCATTGAAAAGATCGGTCGCTTTATCGAAGTGCTCCAGATCGGATTATTCTTGATGACGCTCGGCGTTGGTCTTCTCATATCCTTCGACGCATCGTTTGATCTCGGAAAAGTCATTGGCATTTTGGCTGTCATTGGACTCGGGTTTGGCCCCAATTTTGCAGCTCCGCTTATTGCCTTGCAAACACAAATACAAGACAGCGACATGGCTACCGGTACAGCAGCTTTTGGTTTCGTCCGTATGATCTCGGGCGCTATCGGTCTAGTTCTGAGCCAGGTCATCTTTCAGTATCTGACGGCGCCTAATTTTCAAAGACTTGTCGACAGTGGTATCTCTATAGAGTTTGCCACTAAATTAGTTAGTGGAGAAGCAATCTCCCAAGGTGTCCAAATTGGCGACCTTACTGTAGCTCAGAAGGAGGTCGTCCACCAAAGCTTCATGGGCCCGTTGAGGAGAGTGTGGATTTTGTACACGGCTGTTGGTGCGATGGGACTTTTTGTATCGTTTGGGATCAAGAGAACAAAATTGAACCAAGAGCCATCGCCCTTGGCTAGAGTCGAGCAAGGCGGGGATATGGAGAGTGGAAAAGTTACTTCGACCTGAACATACTTGCCTGGTGCAGTACCTAGACAGCATTTTGGTTTCTCAACAGCTTAGCGAACGCAATATCGAATAAGTTTGTCTAAGTATCGTTTGAGATTCTACAACATTGTTCACAACATCCAGGTGAAACCTGAGGTCATGAATAGCTACTTCAGTCCTACCAACTACGTTTCCAAAACCCCACAAAGATTGTATCTCGCTAGGACTGTCATCGAACCCATCAATATCTACAAAAGACTCATAATGGAAATTCTCAACGAGAATTTACCGCTTTTTGGCACACTTTTGCCAACGCAATCTCGTAACACTATTCCTACGAATTGATCGTCATCGATATCTCAGTGCTTTATGAAACCGACACTCCTAAAAATTTGAAGCCATACTGCACGAGAAATCATGGGCTCAACTGAGAAGAGTGGCTGAAGAGAATGACCCTCCACAGAGTTCAGGACACGAGGCAAGCGGAATTTAGGCCTTGGGGGGGCAAGAGTCTTTGTGGTTCGCATTCGGCTACGATATTGTGGTAAAAGTTTCGGTACTTTGATCAATTGCCGCTTACTCTCAAAAGAAGCTCGAGTTTGGGCGCGAATCCTTGTGATGGAAGCTTTTGGTGGGCCAAAATAGCCGGATAAAAAATGGGCCTGGTATTACAACGACAGTACCACTACACTATGAAGACAACACCACGCACTGTTTAGCTATTGAAAAGAAGTTAGATAATTAACGCTATACTTCAGAAGAACTCTTGATGTTTCACGAAACTTGCAATGCCCATTATGATGATTTTAGCAGTGATTTGGGTTGATGTTGAACGTGATTTTTTATCCGGCTGTTTTGGTCCACCAAGTGGAAACATCGGAGTAGAGTTGTTCAATAGATTTACCGATGCAAGGCCAGGGTTTATTTTCTAGCCATGAAAGGTCAAGTTTCGTATGCAAGAGACTACTCTCGAATTTGTGTCTCATGTGCAAGATGCAGTAGCGATATTGATTGGAGAAGTAGACACAATACCGATTGATTTGAATAAATGCTCGCTTGCCCAACTCAAGCATCACGAGTATCTCCCAAGAACTACTGCACTGTTAGTCTTGAATTAGAACTGGCCACTTGGCTATGCTCTCGTCATTTGTTAGATCTTCCTATCGGTACTGGTAGTGAAGTGGAGCCAATAGAGCGATGTATGAACTACCAGGATATCCTTTGATATCCCTAGTAGATATTCGTTAGTGATCTTCAAACGATATCACGTCATGTAACTCGTGCAGCTGACTAGAGAGGGGTTTGTTAGGCAGGACGCTATGCTTCGTGTAGATGTCAATGCATCACATGTCTGAGAAGAAGACAAGGCAAGATTATCTGACTGTTGTATGAAGTTACAAAGCCGATTGGAAAGAGATGAAACACACAATGATTCCAATGGAGCTCTTTTGGACAGTAGTCTGGTTGATTGTTGACAAGGCGATGAAGCAGAGGGCGTTGGCCGCATGTGGATACGGCAAAGTATGCGCGATACGTTGATTGGCTATCGCAACTGCACCTCTTCGACTCCGCCACCACGCTCAGAGCTGCGGCACCCAATAGCTTCCACAATCCGTGTGACAGAAAGAGGCTGAGCACAAAGCCCATGGTCATGGCCTCAGTCACCTATTTTACCTCTTGCCTAGCAAGCATCCTCTTCCACAGCTCCAGCTACCCTCCCTAGCCCTGCTTTTTCCCTACCAGTCGTGCCCTAACCTGGTACCAATTCACCCCACAACCATGATCTTCGGCGGCCTTGAGATAGTCGCAGGCGGCTACCTGCTCCACCGGCACTACCGCAAAAAGAACCAAGCAAACACCGCCGAAGACGACGCTCAGAAAAAAAGACATCATACCTTCCCCGGTGCAATCTGCGCAAAACAGCAGCAGCAACAGCAACTTCAACAGCAATATCAACAACAGCACTACAACATCCAACACCCACCACAACCACCCCAACACCACCAACCCACCCTCGCCCACCAAAAATACGCCTACTACGCAATAGCACCCCAACCCCGCCCCCAACTCTACACCCCCCAAACTCTCCCTCCCCAGGACTTCCACCATCACCAGTCACCATCTCTCCCCCCGCACCAGCGTCCCCCTCCTCTCCCGCAAACCCACAGCTTCACCATCCCACGCCGCCCCGTGCCTCAACGAAAACCCCACATAATAATCCAGCCCTCGCTCCAACGCTCCGACTCCTTCGCAACCCTCTCCCGCATGCCCATCGCCAACGGCTCGCGGCCGCACGATGTACGCGAAGAAAGTCCTGCCTGCATGACACCTACTGCTGGTGGAGGGCTCGGAGTAGGAGGGGGAGTATATGGAAACCCGGGATACTCGATGTCGACGCCGGCGTTTGGTGCGACGGCTACGTCGCCGGGGTTGACATACGAGATGGCTACGGCGGAGCAGGTGGAGGGGTGGGAGAGGTATGAGGGGTATGGCAGGGAGGAAAGGGAAGAGGCGACACCGCATTATGCGTCGACTGTTTCGACGGAGTTGGGGGAGCGGGATGTAGCACCGCCGCCGTATGTGCCTTGATGCATGTGTGGTTGTGGTTGGGATTGTGGGGGTTTCTTTTCTTTGTGTTTATTTTCTTGGGGGAAGGGGTTTGTTTGGGTTTTAGGTTTCTTGGTGACGGCATTATTTTTGGATATGTATAGTATTTAATTGATAGTAGTTACGGAATTTATTAGATACGATGACGGTGTGACAGATTACTGCTCCTAGCGTGATCACGCAGACAATTATGCTAGAGTAATTGCTCTTTGTATGGATCAACACCTCAGCTCAGCCCCAATCGATATACCTTAGTATGGACAATCCAGAGACGACATCGCATCAAAGGAGTAACGAGATTTTTTGGATCTCTTTTACATATCCTGTCTTTCTACAATATTTTAGTTTTCTACTAATTATCTATGAATATATTCCTAAAACCTAGATAGAGCATGTATAACGAGTGTTTAATATAGTAATTATGAGAACCTCGTGATAGGATAATAGACGTAGAGAGTAGTTAAGAAGTAGTTATTATAGAGGGGGGTCTCTTAGAATACATTTTCTAGCTAATGTGCTCCGTGGGTATCACATAAAGGTGTGTCATCGCTAGTTTAGTAGAACGATAGCATGGTGGAGCCAGAGAGGAATCTAATACACATTTATTTAATTTCTGGGCAAGTTTGCGAAAATTTCCTTAAAAAAAACACAAAACAGTCTACTTGGGGTTAACCGTTCTCCCGCATGTCCTCGTGTTATGAGTTCTCCTATCAATGCGCAGGCTGAATTCTACGATCGTGAGAAGTCGTTTTAGTATCAGAGTGTGATACAAAACCTCGCGAGGGAGGCGCAATCTCAAGCAGTCGTCTGGCAGAGACGCTCTTTCTGTTAGTGCCGGTGAAAATTCACCCATAGAGCACCTGGCTAGTCGTGATTCCTTTGATAAGAAGAACTTCAAGGAGGCGTTCTAAAATGTCAACAAGTTACACTCCAGGAACCTCACAATACGATAGTTAGAAAGAACCAAGCGAGCCATAACTCTTGAGCTCGAAATACTTCATAATCAGAACCTCACCATTCCAGTATGGAAGATCCAAATTTGGACTCAATCCCCGCATCCTCGAATCAGGCGCTCATTGCCGCAGCTGAGGCATTATACAAGTCACTGTGGGCTCGATCGGTGTTCGCTGACTTGTTGATCTTGAGATATATTCTCTGTCATGCGCACAATTCCAGCGCGCCATGGACCCAATACTTTTCAGTTGTAGGCCAGGAAATGAGACAGGCCGCCGTCGAGAAGAAGATCCTATGGCAATATGCAAATCATCTCATCAGGAAAAAGCGAGGAGTCTGCACCCCGTACTACGGACTCTTTCAGCATCCACCGGTGGCACTTGAGCCCTTGCCGGAAATTTTCTGTCGTGGCGACACCGGCACATGCACTACTTGGGCCGTGAGCTTCCACGAAGACAGCTGTATTGACGGCCAATTTGTGGACTACGAAGTTGGGCATCGGCTTGTTTTTAAGAGGCTGGATGATGGAACCGCCGCCGTGATCGATTCTGGTGCGCAACGCCTCTTGTGCTTGAACATAGGCGACAAAGTAAGCGCTGCTGGAAAGGGAAAGGAGCGGTGGCATTGCACAGAAGGGGGCTCTCATCAAATACGATCAGGTATGCACACTGCTTATAATTCTAATGATCAATGCTAACACGTCCCTAGAACGATCAACATCACCTAGCGGACCGAGTAGACGCTATAAATGCCTGTATTATGCAGCTGTGGAGGAAGGCAGCATACATGATTGTTATTTACCGGTAACCTCACCATCCTAACGCTATAGTTGCGTGCACTTTACTTATCTCCTGCTAATATTGTTGTGTGGTGGAATAAACGCTGATGGCTTGCAGCTTGGAAGACAGATTCAGTTTTCCGCCCGGCATAGGGCATACAAGCTTGTTCCATCAGGGGGCCTAAATGAAAATGTTAAAGTGTCTTATATTCTTCTTGGTTACGGTATTGAGAAGGACTTTTTAGTCGCCTCGACCTTCCTTGCGCGTTTTGCGTTTACGACTGTTGACGATGTCAAAAACACTATCGTGAAAGAACTAATGACAATCTTTGAGGCGGCAAGAAAGCATTGGGGTCCACCACTTATTGTTAACTTCTCTGCGGTCCGTAAAGTCGCCTGCGCCTCATGGCCAGATCCTTTTGAAGGCTAGCTAGCTGTTTAGGGCCCATGATGTAAATTATAGTTGCGTTGTAATAGCCTGTAATAGTCTGTAACAGTCGTGGTTTTTGGTGGGGTCTTAGCATTGCGAGCCACTCGTTACTATACTTTTACGTTAACTATTCTGAGATATAATCTACCGAAACCTTTTTCCTATCCCCCAAGTATCGGCCTGCTCGAGCTCAGCCATAGTTCCAACTCCTCCACCTTCCACATCTGTATTTCAAGCTTACGGAGCTTGACGACTGGTAGAGCTTGACCGTGACACCTTTGAATTCTTTGAAGGGCTGACAGGCATTTGGCGAATGTTCTGAATACGGACTATTCCTCACTAACCACATGGTGCCCTTGTTGTCACTGCGCACTCGCTTCTTACATTCTTGTCGATCCTTTGCTAGCATTAGTATCGGTTTCTGGCACGAATGCACTGCATGCGGTAGACTGAGGCTCTCGACTTACGCCGACCACCTAGCTAGGTTCTCCTTCTTCTTGCACTTGCATCTTCTCGTCCATATAGGATCTCTCGTCATCGCTGGAACCACCTCCCTCGCATCTAGAAGCTCTTATGGCGGCATAACCGGCCTCGTTGTTGATTTCATTAGCACGGCGAAGGTCGATCCCGGCTGGTAACAACTCGCCGTCTAGAGCCTCTCCGTCGGCCTCCATTGCCTCTCGAAGGCCTGGTATTTTGCGGCATGCAGCAATGTATTCTGCTACTGTTTGGAATGGGAGTAGATAGAATCCAGTGGTAAAGTCTTGTACTTTTACGTTAAACTTCTGAGCCAGTTCGTCCAGCTTTCCAGCAGCGACCCATGCATTGTACTCTGGATAATCCCAAACCATTTTTGGGCCGTATAGGGTAAAGCTGGGAGCGAGGCTAGGGATTTGTGACATTTTAATTGAGTTCTAACATCGTTTTTCTTTCAGGACAGATTGGTGGGGTGGGAAAGTTTGGGGTAGACCTGAGATAGCAAAGTTAGTTAGCTCACTTCCGTGTTTATAAGCTAGAGTCCTAGAAGGGTGAGATTGTGGCTTACCTCTCTTAGATCCGCGGTTGGCACTGGACGTTTTAGGCCACTCAAGCAATCCATTGGCTGATCCACTGCCGAAACCCCTATTGGATGCGACGACTCCCGATTTGGTGCTTCTCAGCTATGAACAAAACATCGGTTATGTGTGGGGCGCATAGACTAAATATAGGAATGCTTTGTGTTCTAATTACATCTTCATATTACTGAAGCAATGATCAGAGTCTCAAGTATATGCAAAGGCTCTTGCCAATCACCCAAGGTCAAAAGCAGAAAAGAGCAAGCGCCCAAATAGAATGTATAAAATTACAAAATACTATTATCAGCACAAGTAAACGCCCCATTAACCTTTGTTGTCGCAAATGTATTCATCAACGCATCAATACTAGCGTACATGCCAGGCCCTACCATGAACAGCGTCACGCACATGATGAAGATGTTGAAAGCGGCAGTTGCAAGCTTCTTGCCGCTAGAGCGCCACTTGCCGTTCTTGTTGAGGTCGAACCAGAAGAGGACGGTGACGCCCCAGGTAAACCAAGAGAGAAGCAAGGCGGCGGAGATGTTGAGGAGGGAGCTGAAGACTGGGATGGCGTTGGCGAGGATCCAGACGACGATCCAGAAGAGGGATACAGAGAAGATCCAGACGAACCAGTCGGTCTTCTTGCCGACGTCTGTGACGGCGACGGGATCGCGGCGGCGGTTGCTGGTGTTGTCATTAGAGGTGATATCGACAATAGTGCCTGTTTTGTTTTGCTTGGATTGGCGGATGCTGATTTGGCGGACAAAGTAGACGTGGAGGTAGCGTGCTGCTGTCATGCCTGAGAAAATATGTCAGCATGAAACAGAATGCGCTTCCCGAAGAGTTTCTTACCAAAGATAACGACGGCACCGAACACCAACTTTGTGATTTTATGGTACCCTTCAAAACAATTAAATTTTTGTTAGAAATCACTCCTAAAGCGCCTAATAAGGCAACTCACAACTCATATCGGGCCCAGCCCTCCCTCTGACAGAGAGATGGCGGTGCCAGGTACCCCAGGGCAGACACTTCGACCTCCAGAAGTGACACACACGCGCCCTGAGGACCCAAATACCCCTAGCCTAGCTAACCTACGCACTACAAAAAGACACAGGCAAGCCGAAGCAGCGCCTATACCTATATCGTTCGGTGGTAGTGCTAACAAGAGACAACTGGTGACGGGCGCGGTTACGGAGAAGATCACGGCAGCCTAAGAGGCCGCCAAAACTAGACACAGCATCATCACAGCTATCGCGAACGCGATTGATCATTGCCTAGAGAACTTCACTAGCATAGCGGAGCGCCTGGTCGCACAAGAACTACAGCAACGTGTGGTGTATGCCCTAACCAACTCTATCCACCACCCATCCACGACCACCCCCCAGCCTGTGAGCGACGCTGGGCCTAAGCCTACACGAACATATGCGGAAGTCGCAAAACCCCCCAACAGCCACTCTATGCAGGAAAGGGGCGCCGCTATAACTAAGACGGCAGCAACCCACCGAAACGGCATAACCCTGAATAAGCCGCCGAATAAGCCCGTACCAGACAGACGAATTCTTTTCCAGCTATCTACAGCACAGAGAGTAAAACAGCCTTCGCCCTTTGTAATGCGAAAAGCACTGTGCGCAAGGATTGATAACCTCACTCTGCAAGACATCCCAAGACTCACAACGACAAAAACAGGCTGGGCACTCACACCAGCCCAATGACACTATCA